AATACATTTGACTGCATGAAGCTCACATAACCGCTTGAGACCGACACGCGAGAACGATACTCGAAAATTCGCCAACTGTTGAGTCTGCGGAAACGTGCTTTTTTTGTTCCCTGTTTGGCAGCTCTCTGCTAAACGCGCTTTCTAGCAAGAGTGTTTTTGTAGTTCGTAAAGATTCCTCTGCTCCGAAGATGCGGAGCAGAGGAATCTTTACAAGACAGTATGTTCTTAAAACTACGCCGCCCTTCCCCCCCCCCCCCCCCCCCCCCCCTCGCTCCCCTTCACCCTCGTCCTCACTTCCCCACCCTTTTTCTTGTTTCGATGCTCCTCCAGAGGATACTTTTTATCCCTGAAGGACTCCCTCTCCTGTTAGATCGGGTTAATTTGATAATTACATTGGTGTCATTTGTTAACGGTAATCTTGCATTCCTTTTATTTTGCACCCAAACACTGTGGAGTCTAAACAAAATACGGAGGTGGTCAAAGTTTGGGGGAAGAACTTGGGAACGACACTCGTGTGAGACTTAGAGCGGCTGCCAACGTTCGGCTGTCTCTCTGAGGACACATTGGATCTTTCTTTTCGGCTATCCCTCTTGCACATACGTGTAGTTCTATTTATCGTCGGATAAATATGTCGCATTTAGTCCATTCAATGCTTCTATTCTCGGGGAAATCTTTCTGAGATGGTTCAGCAACAACGAAAACATCACTGGGTGCCTCAATGATATGTACTACATGTGAAATGGGTCATTCCACAATTTTTGTTTACTTTCAGTAAATACCGCTAAGAACTAATCCCTGACGTCGGTAATTTGCAAAAAACTCCAATTAGCTTTCTTCTCCGCTCGATGGCAGATGCAGAAAAAAAAATAATCAAGGAAAGAAACCGCTTTCCCCTCCTCAACTGGCTATTAAAACAAGCAGCCACGTGATCTGACGCTAGTATATATACAGGGTGTTTCCGGAAACGCGGACATAGTCGCTCGTGCGAACCCTACGTAACGCAAAGAAAAAAGTTTGATGCCGTAGTGGTCTGTGTCAAAGGGCCCGTTAAGGAAAATTATTATAGATCAATGTAATTGGGTAACTAATTATTTTGAGTAAATTGTTAATGGTTGATTTCATAGATTTAATTACGGTTTTTCTGGGCATCATTGAAATCTACTAAGTACATCCACGTTACAATGATATAAGGCAAATGCAGCATTTTACGGTGTCCCAACAAAAAAAAAATATATGCTAAATTTGGACGCGTTTCTGGGTTTCGGTTTCTCATCAGAGCACATCTCCGCGCGGGCAATCCCGCCCCTCGTGTCTACAACGTGCGTGCGCCGCCACACATCGCACATAAAAGAGGCCAGACAAGAAAACCTCCGGACTGTCACATGAGGTTTGCCTCTTGATGTCGGTGCCAGTGTGAAGACGCAGCTTCACGTGCTACGCGCGGCGGCGCACGCAATCCCGCCCCTCGTGTCTAAAACGCCCAACGCGTTGTAAGACACGGGGGGGGGGGGGGGGGGGGGGGGAGCGGGATTGCCCGCGCGGAGATGCGCTCCGATAAGAAACCGAAACACAGAAACGCGTCCAAATAGAGCTTTTTTGGGACGCCGTAAAATGCTGCGAGTGCCTTATATAAATGTAAAGTGGCTCTATTTAGTAGTTTTCGATGATGCTCAGCAAAATTTTAATTAGAACCATCCCTTAAAGATCAATAATTAACAAATTAATTACTCAAAATATCTAAGTACCCAATTATATTGAAAGCTAATAATTTTCCTTAATGGGCCCCTTTGACACACGCCACTACGGCATCAACCCTTTTTCTGTGCGATGCGTAGTTTTCGCAGACCGCCATTGCTGCTGCGCGGCACGGTCGTAAGCCTTCACTTGAGGCTCGGAAACCGGTTCCGTCAGACTCGATCGCAGTCGATTGCGACAGTGTGAACAAGCCTTCAGAGATGCCATCTTTGCACAAGACTTCAGACTGGAACTATGGGTGCAGAGCATGCCGGTTCCTCTGCACTTCGCCGGCTCCGCAAGCGAAGCCGGTTGCGATAGCGTAGCTCTTTGCTTGTTAGAATTGCATTTGAAGCCATGTACAAGCGCAACATTTCTTGACCTGTAGCGCCCGCTATGAAAATTTTAATCAAAATATTACGGCATGGCTAGGCCATATTGAGTAGGGTGTCTACATCCGTGCCTCGGGGTGAAGACATCCTTTGTTGCACTGAGCGGGCCAGTGGTTGACGCGCTGGCGTGACTGTTGCGGCCGGTAAAATGGCGTATCCGGAGCGAAAGTTCGTCTGCTTCTTTTGCAGGAGTTGTAATGACGTTAGAGCGCCAAACTGATGAAGGATAGTGGGTAGACCTCAAAGCAAGCTGCCCCCCTCGAGGTCTTCCCACTATTCATCAATCAGAGCCAACCAGAGCGCGGCGTTCTGATGGCACCGCAACCTCCTGCGCAAGAAGCATAAGCATTACCCAAGGCTACGCTCTCGAGCCGTACCACCTAATTGCGCCTACCTCAAGACCAAAAAAAAAAAGGAAACAAACACGCACGCACGCACGCACGCACGCACGCACACACACACACGACTGGGCGGGAAATTGACCACTCAACCAAAAGCGCGCGTGGAAGAAGGCACTTTAATATTGAGGTCGAGCGTCACTTCCCAAATACACCGGGTCCCCAACCTAAAGTAACAAACATCCATTGAATTTTTTTAGTTAATTTCGCGCTGAAGAGTCAAGTTTTGCTGGAAAATATATATGGGTGTACAAATACCGGTTTGAATTGAGTAGCACTATGCTATTCATAACATTCAGTGGAAAAACAAATGACGACAACCGGTTTTCATGTCTTCAAGCTAGGGACGACACCGTGCTATTCAATTCGAAACGGTATTCGCACCCTCTACTAGAAAGCGTTTCGACAACCGAATTTCGTATAATCCACCCACTAATCTGCGCGACCATTTGTAGGGAAATCGGTGGACCCACCGGGCGAACCGATATACAGCGCTTCAATGAAACACAATTTCACTTCCGATACATAGTGGCTATGTAGGCGAGTATATCTTCCGTCATTGTCTCAATTTGTACAGAACTGCTCTACTCAAGATACTGTATTTCAAATACTTTTGGTAGAGTTTCGGTATCTTGCAACATTTCGTCTAGAGTATTTCCTACCCTATCTTAATTACATTTCTCACTCCCTTCTACTAATTATCTCAAAAACATTTTTCAACCTTCGAAAATATTTGTCGCCGGAATAATCTACGGGACGGATCGTCAGACTCCACGGCAAGGCTGAACCGATGGTAGACTTGGAGGCAAGCGACCAAACACAAGACAGGAAAAAAAGGCACGAGCAAAACGCAGTGTCCGAATGTTAACAAAATTCCAAAGCGATAGCCCGAAGTACGCCCACCTTTACGTGTCCGTCCTTTTTTTTTTTTTTTTTTTTCATTTTAATTGCACGTTACGCTTGGAGCTAGTAAAGTACTAATGGAGTCATCGAGATTCTACATCTTTACCTGAAGCTAGAGTGGTGCCGTCAACAGAAGATTGTGACGCCAACGCTTGGCCTCACAATCACACGTACGGTCACAATGGACTATTTCCGGAAATCGACGGTTCAAGGGGTTCTGGTATGAAAATGCGCGATCACATTTTCAAGTGAGCGCGAACACCCCAAGGCCAAGGAATCTAGATTCTGCTGGTTTTATTGAGCTGCAGTGACCTAGATTGGGATTTCCCGAAGCCCCTTGCGTGCCTACTGTGGCATAATTGGGCTCGTTCAAAAGCGTTTATTTTATCTCCTTCCGAATCCGCAGTTTCGTTCTCAGAACCCTCCAACCTAGTTTTCCGCCAGGTGGAGCCAGGGATACAAAGCGGTTTCATGGACTTTCTTGTGTTGCTTGTATTTCCCCTAAACCTTCCCAATGTATTTTTTGACCGCTTGAAGGTTCTGGCGTTCCTCGCACTTGGCTGGGGGAGTCAATTAACACTCGCTCTTGGTTGTTCATCAGAGAGAGGCTGCTGTCCTAGCCGATGCGTGCACGTTTGTCATTCAGACGCGTACTCAAGTCTGGCTGCCTGATCAACTTCTAGTTCGGCTGTTAGGGATACGACTATCTGTCAAGTCCACGAATCACGTCAACGCATATCACAAACGTGATGCGGAATGCGCCATAGGCCGAGCCTACCGCCAAGCTAAAGCATGCCCCCTTAGTCTACGCCTGATCACAGCAGAATGTCATTTTTAGCGGTCACCACAAGTAGAGCACCTCCTTTTGATCTTTTTTTTATTATTTTATTACTAGCTTGCAACTATGCTTGCCGAGCACCTTTGAATGTAATTTAATTACTTTTTCAAAGTATTCGTACTGGGTATTTAGTACCTTAGCTTCAATACTAGAGTATTTTGCACATTGCACAGAAGGTCTTCATTAGTGCCACAGAAGCATATTGACTGTCACCGTCAACAAAACTTCAGTACCCTCTGAAGCATACTTGGTTTGCACAAACCCATGCCTACTCTGGCAGGTTCTTTGGAGCCATTTTGGCCACCGACAAGCCTACCACTCAAACGCCGGCTCGTCTCAACTCCCAAAGACAGACCAGGACAGGAAAACCGAGTACTTCACAATGTTCCTTCATGCTGTCGACTACATCAGCAGCTGCAGTCAATCACGAAGCGAGAAAGCGAGCGAACCGTAAAACGGTGCCTCTGCGCATGAAGACACACAGGGCAAACGCTCCTCGCGTGGAAACGAATAGAACATTAAAATATACTAATTACGACCTAATGCAGGGTCTCGTGGTTTAGTCGGACTGAACTTTCGGGAGTCTCAAAGCCACTTGTTTGCGAACGTTGTCTTTTGTGTCCAGTTGGTGACGTTCAGTCTAAAAACACTTGCTAACAAGCCGCATCCAACATGTCTGCAGGCGGTGTCCGGCGTGTCGCTTTAGCAAGACAAGGTCCTTCTGCTGCCGAGAGGTTCCAATGAACAAAAGCACAAACATACTTTATTCTCAACTTTTGTTTTGTAACGCATTCTGTCGTCTGCAACTGTGAGACGTGCATGCTGGGCGTGCACAAACGCTCTCACAAAAACCACTCGCAGAACCACACTGGTGACCTTGAGATCCGACCGCGTCAACCAGACGTCCTGCACCGATGTTCCGAGAAGGAGGAAAGGGGGACAATTTTTGCCCTCATTTTTATTGGGACACCCCGTCGTCGGGACCAACATGGGCGCCGGCTGGCTCCGTGCCTGCCGGAGCTGGCGGCAGAGGGCACCGGAAGAAGTCCGGATGCACAGTCGGGACCGCCGCCACCGTGGGTGTGGACCCACGGCTGGAGCCTCCGAGACACGCAACACAGGGACACGAAATTAAAAAAAAAAGAGAGACTGCGGCTGGAGGAGGCTGCAGAAACTGCGGGAGGAAGGCGACGACTCTTAGACGCCTTCTCCGAGTAGCGTCCCGTCGTCTGCTGGCGGTCCCGGACGGGGGGAAACAAGGTCGCAGGCTTGCGCAGGCTTCGTTGCAGGCCTTCACCGCGGCCCTACCGCAGATGGGGTGGGGGAGGATTGGTGCGGCACCGTTCCGACAGAGCAGGTAGTAAAGGCCACTTCACTCCGTGTACTCCCACCAGTCCTTCTCGTAACCCTCGTGCACATGCTCAAGCAGCACTCGACGCCGGCTCTCGCAGTACCTGCAACACGCAAGAGACACCCGCGTTTGACAGGAATCCAAAGTTGGCAAAAGAGTGTTGCAGTGCCACCAAATCTCTCTTGCTGGAACTGAGCCCTTGCAGTGAATGCCCAAAAAGTTTTCCTCCGCAGTAACCTGTGGTTCAAGCTGCAACCTAGAATACTGCTTCCTTCAACGAAGTAAAACAACCCAATATTCCTGATACACCACTATGGTATTCAAAAGCTTGATCCGGCTTGTGGCTTATAAAATACCTGTGTATCTCATCTGTTATGTCGAAATGCACAGCTGGCAGAACTTCCTGTGTCCTCCACTTCGAGTGCCTTTGTGCTTTTCAGTAAGCGAGCTCGAAAGGCCTAAGCAAGGTCGATGTCTGAAGTCTCTCGCAAGTGAAAAGATGCAGGCTTGCATGTTAACGTAGGACAGACTGATTCTCGTGAACAGTCTACAAAGGCTGATAATGGAAGCTTCCCAGTCAGGAAGATTCTGCTGTACATAAATAGTGATGGAAGCGGCATTTGAACTTTTGTAGCAGGTTCTGTAGCAGGCAAAACATTGGTTTGGAGCAGTCACTGATCCTTTTGGGGCAGAGGCCAACATCTGTTAGCCTCTCACTTAAAAATGAAAAGTGACGGCATTGCTATAGAAAGTTATTGATGATAATGACGGGGGGTTTCTCTTTGATACTGGAGCATACCTATTACATGTTACTTTCTGTAATGAGGAGAAATAGGGTGCCAAAGGAACATGGGGCATTCATTTTATAAATTAGGCTCTAGTCGGAGAAGATTCAATTTACAATAGGAACTAAAAACTGATAAAGACGAATCATAACGCAAAAGCTCAGTTGGGATAAAGCTTCTCTCCCCTTGCACTTTTACCACTGGTAGTTTATTTAGCCTGTACATATAATTTCTCTAAAATGACTGCAAAATCCACCTCGTCTATCAACAAAAATGCGTCCCCCGAGTTTTATGAACCTACCAAACTCGAGACTTCAGTATTATGAACTGCCAAAGCCACCACCCCAAAATATTATGAAAGTCTACACTTGTGCAAGTGACACTGCTCCTTAGCGGCGTTGGAACCAGACTTAAGTAAAAGTTTGCTGTTCTTTTGATCGACAGCAGCACAGGAACAACTACGAGTACTAATTATTCAAACATAGACACCCACTTTTTTTCTCGGCGCAGATTTTTAAATTTAGAAATTAACTTACCACCAAGACAAAAAAAAAAAAGGCAGGAGGACACTCAAGACAGCCTATGTGTAGGAAGGCAAAAGCATCATAGTCCCACAGGGGAAATGTTTTCGTGGAATGTTTCTACACGTATTAAAGTTTAGAATGACGTATGGTATGACATCCTAAAGATTGACGTTAAGTACAGCGTCTAGGAAGACCTCTAGGACAACATCAAGGATGGCATCTAGGACGACACCAAAGACAATCTCTCTAATGACATCAGGGACGACGTCAAGAACGGCGTCTAGGACCACCTCTAGGACGACATCGAGAACGACGCCTAGTGGAGGACACTTAAGGAGGCCGTGGTGCATTTGCTTGGGCGGCCACATTCGCCTGCGGGAGCCGCCATAGATGTAGACGCTGTTGTCGATGTCGAGGCCATAGGTGTAGACACGGTCGCCTCACAGTCCATCGCACAAAGTACACAACGAGCACAGATGAAGTCCGAAGCGCACTTTTTGCACACGGCACTCTGGCGGCGACATCACGCTCCCACTCTTGAGTGCCAGCGTGAGCGGCACGTGCTTAAGGACGTTACTTATGGCCATTTTTCAGGAATAAAGATTTTTTCGCGTAATGGGATAAGTAAGGTTGCCCCAGATGTCTAGAACGACCTCTAGGGCAACCTCAAGGATGATGCGTGGGCAGTGTTGTCCTTGAGCATACGATTGAGCGGCACGTGCCACTCAATCATATTTTTATGGCCATATAAGCCACTTTATCGCTCAATGAGACAAATAAGGCTTTTGCCTTAAAAAGTAGACCTGGAATAGTGCCGAGCATAATTACTGAGCCTATCACGCTAGCCCAGGAGCTCACCCTTGTCAGCCGCTACACTTAGCTCTCTTGTGCAAAGCAGAGAAGCTCAACACGTGCGTGCAGGTGAGAGGCGGTACGGAGGCAAACGGCAGACAATAATTAAGTGATCTTATCAGCAGTACAACACCCTGGATCAACCTTATCACAATAGCCGCCATTCTACGATTTGGCAATGTTTTCTCGCAACTTTTAGCTCCTCAAATTGCCGATGTAGTCTAGAAATTTAGACGATGTTGCCAATCATTCTACCAGCGCATCAACCAACTGGCGCAGTTGACGAGCCATCTCAATACAGTCGAACCCTGTTTCAACGAACGTCGCTTCAACGAAATTTACGGTTCAACGAATATGTTTCGGTTCCCTGTCGGCGGTCCATAGGAGTCAATGCATAAAAATTCTCACTACAACGTCCACTGTTTCTTGCGCCATTCCGCTTGAACAAAATTTTAAAGAACAATTCGAAGCACTTTGGTGCATTTTGGCAGATAAAATGTCTATATAAAGTTTAAATCGCGAGATGAGCCACCAGAAACTGCCACTAATAACCGGAACCCGAGCGAAACGTTGATTGGGGGTGCAGGCCGCCATTACTCTATGGCGACAGCGATGAGGCTGGCCGTTCCAACCTTCTTCCGCTATTGCACCAATGTTGGTTGCACCCCAGCTCTTGGCTTGATATTCCTCTGCTGCAGACTATCCAAAACCGAGGCTCGGTCGTCTTTTTTGTTTTGGCGGTTGTCCTTTTCTCAGTACAGTACGTGGGCTTTTTGGACATGCCAAGCAAAACGCGAAAGTTTTTATTTTCAGAAGATAACGCTCGCACCCTGGCCGAAGTTACAGGTGAACAGAAGAAAGCTATCATCGCAGAAAAGTTCGAAATATCTCCAAGTTCTTCGTCGACGATCCTAAAATCGAAAGATGCAATTGAAAAGGCTCTTGCATCGAGGACATCGGCCAAGCAAAAGAAACTAACACCGTCGGCGCACGAAAAGCTCGACAAGGTTATATACACATGGTTTGTACAGATTTTTGTACTCTACCAGTTCAGGTATGCCATTTTTTTGTGAATTTCACAACAAAATTTTCGCTACAACAAATTTTTTCTCACACACCGTCAATTTCGTCGGGGTTTGACTGTACTTCATTTTATATTAATTTAAAGAGCAGCTGCTACAAGCCAATTGGATCAACCAGCATCAAAGTGTGACACCAAAGCATTCATCCATCTTCCTGCGCGTGGTCATTCATCAATTAAACAAATCTAGTGCAGTGAATGTCCTGCAACTTGTGCTTTTAGCATGTGTTTGTGGTTGTACGTGTTCGAGCCTTCAACTGTACTCTTACCTAAGATAAAAGAAACTATACGGTGAGTGGAGACACTCTGAAATACATACATCTTCCATTTTTCTTTCCTCCAACTTCTCTAACTATTAGAGTTGACCAATAATATATATATATTTTTGCTTTGTTAATTTTGGCGCAGGTGTGGCGCAATCGTTAGCAAAAATGGAACTTTGGCACAAGACGTAGCAGACTTGTTCATGGCGCAATTTGGCGCAAATGGCATAGTACCCCGATCACTGCATGCACTATTCCAAGCTGTACGAGAGAGACTGACGGAGTGTGTGCTGTTCCTATCCATGGCACCGATCTAGCACTGCCTCCGCAATCTATTCATCTATTATGCATCATGCAGAGACACGGGGTTTGTTTCCACCGCAATTGTTAACATCAGTCTGTCCTCTACTACACAATATATTTTTGTGCTAGCAGACACATACTCAATGTTAAAGATTTTGTTTCTTATTCCAATGCCATCCCTACACTGGTGGCTTTACTGACATATACTAAGCTGTACAAAATAAAGGTTAGCAAGGACATTACTTATTGGAGCACTTTTCATGGAATAACATAGAAATTGGGAGCTCACGCTTCTGCATTGAAGCATGCTCCGCTGTGTGTGCCTGGAGCAATATTGAGTCTGCAAAAACCATTTGCTAAAACTGCCTATGTTCAGGTTGTATTCATCGCAGAACAGTCGGCTCTTGTTAATTTTAAGCTGCATATTCAAATTTTCAGTTACTTCGAAGCACGGCTACAGTTCTGGCGCTAATACATATAAATGTATGGAAAAAGCAAGCAATTAGATAATTCGAAGGACTTTCTACAATTTGTGTACACAAAACACCCACAATTTAAACCGCTACATATTCCCGCTTGTATGGCGAAGTTGGCAACGCGCGCGACTGTCATGTGGAGGAACTAGAGCACTGCATGGGCCCGGGCCAGCCCGAAAACCCGAGCCCAGCCCGGCCCGCGGGCCGCGCTCGGGCCGGGTAGCACGTATTTTCTCGGGCCCGGGCCGGGCTTGGGCTTGAACAAAAAAGTTCTCGAGCCGCGCCGGCCCGGGCCGGCCCGAGCCGTGCTTTGGCAATCTTCTGCCGTAAATCATAAATTGTTGTAAATAGCAAGAATTTTGCTCATTAATCTTTTAGGTTCATTGAATACAAAAAAAGCGAAGTGCAAATTCACTACAGCGTCGTTAAAAATAATAACTAAAAGACGTCTTGAAGCTAGAAAGCCTTCAAGCTTTTTCCGCGTGAGCAAAAGTTCAGAGTTATAAATTGTAAACAAAATAAAGTCCCAGTCATATGCTTGTCAACCTGTCTGATTCATCGCTCTCAAAAATATCTAGTTCACTATTAGGAAGATTTAGAAAAACGTACGCAAGCGCTTTGGGTATCGTAAAAATAGCGTTGCAATGTAAAACCTATGGCGATGCTAATTTTAGCTTGCCCAAAGTGCTCGAGTACTTTATTCTAAGACTCTCTTATTGCACAGAGCGCGACACGATATTAGCGCGAACAAGCGATCGTCGTGTTTTTATGTTTATCTCATATAATCAAAAGGCTGTTTTCAAAACTATTAGTGTCTTTAGAAGTGCTCATCTGGGCCACAGACCTAAGCGGTATACTTTGGTGCCTACTAACACTATTTCTAAGTAAAATTCGAAAAAAGAGCCTACGTCGTGTTCGCGGTATCAGTGTCGCGCAGTGTACGTAGTCCGTTTCGCGCTTGCACGTTTTGGGAACCATCTTGAAAAAAATGTTTTAAGGGGTTAAGTAGGAATATATTAAACTTAAGCTTGCCTGAAAGGGTTGTATATCTTAAGAACGCGTTGACATGTAAAGCTGCTTCAGAACATATTCTTAAACAGAAAAGGTGCGCAGACCAGGCTTAGAACGATGGAGACTTTTGGCGAAGAGGTTTCTATGTGCAGGGCCTTATAAAAGTAGGTTGAAACGGGACGCGTTCAAACGCAAAGGGTGGTTCGGAAACTGGTTCAAATAAGAAAGGCGTTTAGGGAATGGGTCGAAACAGGACAAATTCGAACGAGAAGGGCGTTTAGGGAACTGGTCGAAATGGGGCGGGTTTATATGGGAAGGGCGTTTGAAGAATGGGTCGAAACAGGACGGGTTCAAAGGGGGAGCTCGTTTCGGGAACAAGTTGAAACGGGACCGGTTAAAACGGAAATGGGTTGTTTCGGGCTACAGCCATCGGGCCGGGTCGGGCGGGGCCTAGAAATTAAAAATTCAGTCCGGCTCGGGCCGGGCCCGAGCCGTGTCTCTTCCGGGCCGGGTCGGGCCGGGCCTAGAAATTAAAAAATTTTGTCGGGCTCGTGCCGGGCCCGGGCCGTGTCTCTACCGGGCCGGGTCGGGCCGGGCCTAGAAATTCCGGCCCGTGCAGTGCTCTAGGAGGAACACTGTTCAAACCCCGCTCAGCCTGGATCTTTCACTTGTAATGCTGTACTCTTCTGGAAGCTTCCAGCCCATTCTCGGCTGCCATCGAGCGTTCTGAAACATTCCCGAACACGCCACATGTATAAAAGCAGAAGTAACGCACTGCTTTGCGAAGTCGCTCTTCCGTTGCCAGTGCAAGATGTTTAATACATTTCGCTTTAGTGTGTAAGCACAAGTACACTCCATCAAAAGTTTATTTTCAATTTTTTGTAATCGTTTTTATTGAATGACAGGGTTTTTATCACTGGGAAAGTGGCAATGACCCAAGTGTAAATTTTGATATTATATATTTAGAGAATTTTTTTTTATTTGCTACGACGAATAAAAGTTGATATTAAAAAAAGGAAGTTCTAAAAAACACTCCTGAACATTGGCACTTCGCGTTGTCCCCACGTGCCGCATGTGAGCTGCAGATGCGAGATGCCATAAACATTCCTTCAGTCAAGTCAATGCACCAGCATCACCGAGAGACCTCTCCTAAAAAAAAAACTAGAAGACGGAGAAAGAATACTGCAAAACGGTTACATCTCAAGGTGTAACTGACGTGCACTATTTTTTTTTTTTTTTTGCTTCATTACAGTTATGGAATTCTATCTTTAAATTGTCAGGTGTAGTGAATGCAAACAAACGCGTATCTACGAACCAGAGATAAGCTACCGGATGCCACAATGTCGAACAGCACTTCACTGTTCTCAAAATGTAACAATAAGGTCTAGAAGCCAAAAATTTTAATTTGTAGGTTGTTTTGCAGCAGTTTTTCTACAAAGTTCGACAATGAAGTTATCCCCAAAAGTGGAGGATTAATCGACACATTTCTTACGATGTTCTACTCCATTCCCATAATTAAATTTACCAGAAAATATAAACTTGCACCAGAGGGCTGCCACACATGGCAAGATATTGAAAAGGTACTGAAGCCAAACTAGAAATATAATACACACATTTGTTCAGGCGTGAACCTGTCCCAGAGCTTGAAAAGCTGTCGCTGCAGTGCAAAGTGCACCTGGGAGCATTTGCAGCCCAAGCCATCGCGGCACAAACAATTTTGGCTCAGTAAGAACCTCAGCCAGGACTACTGATGCTAAAGTTAGCCTAACCTCCTTTCTAGGGACGTTCACCCCTCAGTTACCGCTCAATCACACTGGAAGCAGATCCGCGTTCGCAAAGTGGTTGTGAACGCGGTTGTATAAAGATCCAGTGCAATTGCACGCGCACTCGATCATATCAAGTGCACGTGCAATTGTACTGGAACTTTATACAACCGCGTTCGCAACCGCTTTGCGAACACGGATCCGCTTCCTGTGTGAATGAGCGGTTAGGGTGGCCTTCATCTCCCCGATCCTAAACGGAACACTTTCAATGATCGATCAATGCTAATGCCTACAAAAAACACGAGAAAAGCGGGGAGGACATAAGATGAGGACAAACATGGAAAAAACGTCCCGATTGCTTCCTAGTCTCTTGCCCGTTCAATCACCTCTGGTTTCCCTACAATCTTCAGTCTACAACAGCTTACATGAAACCTCATGCCATCATTAAAAACCTGCTTCCTACAGCAAGAGCAAACTGTCTTCAACAGTGCTTCAGCTGTGTGCAACCTCCAGATGAGCAATTTGAGCTCACAGATTGTGCCTCGTGCAGTCGTCCCTCAACCTTTCACCGACTACAAAAGACGTCAGTCTGGTCCCTACTTCTTCGTGCCCACCTGTATTTGTCCTGCACCTTCTGCTTGATGTCTAGCAGGTTCTCCTGGGTGATGTCCCTCTCCAGGTACTCAGAGAGCTTCTCTGTGGCACTCTCCAGGTCCCTCTGGTTGTCCTGCGAGTTGTGCAATCAAAGAGCAAAACTCTCAGATAACCTCCCTTATCAGTAACCCAACTTCAAAGTCACATGAGAAGTTATTAAAAAGAAAAAAAACATGTCAGCTTCAATTACTCAACATTAGCACACACTATTTGTAGGCTCTCATTCCAGCCTAGCTCATTGGACAGTACTGAGCCAATCACTAGGACTCTGGTCTCTGTGGAAAGGGATTTTGGAGCTCTTCATAGTAAAGGCCCGTTCACACTCTTGCGACCGAGTACGACCGAGAGAGACGAGACTTGTTAAAACCCCCTAAAATTTCTTAGGACGAGAGAACACACTGGCACGATGGCGCCGTCTATGCGGTGATCCTGGAACTGCATTTCACAAGAGCAAAGGTTTTGCGGGATTTCCGAGGTCAAATGTGCAAAATCCTAATAAGGAAGGCTCATTTATGACGTTGACTAAAGTTTTCGAGCCAAGAAAGAAAGGATAATGCTCGAAAGAAATATAAAATATGCTGGGATTGCCAAGTTTACACTTCTACCCAATGGATGGTGCCAGCGTAACCTCTCATTGTAAGAGGTTTTAAGGAACCCAGTTTTAAAAGGTCGCAAGAGTGTGAACGGGCCTCAAGATTCACTAGCCCTTATCACTAGGTGATTGACAATACTAAATATTATTAACTTAAAAATGGTAAGCCAGTGACTATCATTAAGGCGAGACGCGGGTCTTAAAATGCTAAAAAATCGCGAAATTTGGGGTTTTTCAAAAATCACATGTTTGGATATAATATAGTCTGAAGTACCTGCCTGCGAAGTTTCAATGTCCTATTCGACGTCTAAGTATAAAAAAAACGATAAATACGATGCCTCCGCGACGCTCAAATCGCGAATCAAACGCAAAAAATAGTCAAACTGCGCGCCCGCGTCGCTTCACGACCGATCGTCGGATCGCGGCCATCTTGGTCTTGTTGGAGAGCTGGTTCTCTTCCCTACGTCCTCATCCCACTCACTATCGCGACAACCTTGGAGATCGTCCGCATTCCGCGTGTTTTCACGACCGGAATAACGATTGCTCATTGGCCCGCGCGCGTACGTCACGGGTACGTTGTGCCGCGCGCGCCTGTCATAGGCCAAGACGCGCCCCTTTCCACTTTTGCTCCTTTCCTCCTCTTGGCGCGCGCGCCTCCAGCAGCGCAAGGGGATCGTGGGGAAGCGTCGTCTGCTTCGTTTTGGCCCGTCGCTTTGTTCGTTCCGCGGCTGAGTGCACATTGTTTCGAAATCGTTTACGTTCGCGCGTTCGCGTCGGACATCGTTGGTTTCTCGCTACGAAGTTGCGGGAGTTTTATTTCGAGCGATCGAGATGCCGGGGGACTCTCGATTGAAAGAGAGTACGCGGCGGACGTTCGGGAGGAAGACGCGACGTGCGTGGAACAAGCGGAAGACAACACCTGCAAGTGCGCCGCTACGATCTGCGCCACTGCCGAACGCATTGGATCTGCCGGGACCATCGGCTAGCCTTCCCGTTGACGATGCTGCGGCCTCAAGCTCTGGTCCGGATGGCTCAAGTTTTGCCGGCACCACTCGCGTCGACTCTACCTACTACTCCACGGCCGAGCAAGCGCAGCGCGCCGAGCGATCGGAGCAAAGCAAGCGCGTTTTATCGGAGAAGTCGGCGACCCAGCGGAAGTTCGATCTGCTTGAAGTCAACGGATCATGCCAAACAAGCGATGCCGGGACCCAGTTTGTCATCGTCGACATGAAAGTCCTCAACGACCTCTTCGCGCACGCGAGGTGTGGAAGCTGCGGTGTGGGATCTCTCACGCTCAGCAAGGCCGCGGACAAGGAGTACGGCTTGGCCGTCAAGCTTGTGCTCGTCTGCAGCACTTGCGACTTCCAGAAGAAGCAGTTCTCCTCTCCCAGGGTTGCTGGAACAGCAAAGATCACTCCCTTTGAAGTGAACATGAGGGCCATGAAGGGGATCCAATCCATTGGCAAAGGAGTGACAGCCTTGGCAGACTTCTGTGCCTCCATGAACATTTCTCATCGGGGCCTGCACCACAAGACGTACCAGGGACACCTGAAAACGCTTGTGCGGGCATGTGAGAATGCAGCAACCGACAGTGAAGCCGCCAGTGTTGCTGTCGTCAAGGGGCTCTACACAGGCTTTATGAACCCCATTGGCAACATCGATGTCATCTTCGACGGATCATGGATGACCCGAGGACGCAGCTCCCACATTGGTGTAGGCTGCATTGTGGAGTTGTACTCTGGCCTCGTCATCGACCATGTTGTGTACTCCAACTTCTGCCTTGGATGTGCCTTGGGACCGGAGCCCGAGGACGATGGCTACAGCGACTGGTACGCAACCCACGACTGCCAGAGGAACATTGACTGCAATGCTGGCCGTATGGAGGTGGAGGCTGCGCTCACAATGTTCCAGAGGTCTCTGACCAAGCATGGTCTCCGCTACACCACCGTCCTTTCGGATGGGGACAGCCGGACATTCCATGCCTTGTCTGAAGCGAAGGTTTACGGCTTCATCAAGATAGAGAAGAAGGATTGCGTGAACCATGTCCACAAGCGGATGGGAGCTGCCTTGCGCAACGTTGTTGAGAAGAAGAAGGCACAAGGCGAGTCACTTGGTGGGAGAGGAAAGCTGACACAGGAAAAGATCAAGAAGATTACTAACTATTACGGCTATGCTCTCAGGAGCAACAGCCATGACGTTCCAGGGATGAAGAGGGCGGTGGAAGCCACACTCCTGCACATGACCTCAACAGACAGCGCCCCAGACCACAGCAAGTGCCCCGAGGGAGCGGAGTCCTGGTGCAAGTACAACAGGGCCTTGGCAAACAGTGAGCCTCCGCCGCCGCACAAGAATCCTCTTCCGGATTGTGTTCGGGCTGCACTTGAGCCAGTGTTTGAAAGGCTCAGCAATGAAGACCTGTTGGCACGGTGTAGTGAGGGAAAGACGCAGAATGCCAGTGAGAGCCTGCATTCGGTGATCTGGACGCAGACTTCAAAGAATGCGAATGCCTCCCTGGACAGCGTGAAGAGGGCTGCGGCTGAAGCTGTTGCTGTCTACAACCAGGGAAGGAGAGCGACCAACGAGTCCATTGCTGCAGGCCTGGGCTACGCCACCGGTGACTGCCTTGTCCGCCGAAGCATAGAAAAGGACAGTCTCCGTTTACGTAAAGCAAACTCGGTGCACCAGAGCAGCAGTAGCGTGAAGGAAAGGTTTTCCAAGCGACACCAGGCAGGAGCATCACGAGATTACAGCCCAGGACAGCTGTAATGGCTTTTTCCAGTGCCATGTGGAACAAAGGCCCTTTTCAGGGCCAAACAAAATTACGTTTGGAGCTTGAAACTCTTGCTCGCCTCTCTCGTTGTCCAAAGTTGTCGGCTCATCACTTTAGAAGCAAATTTTAGCCTATATCAGTAATTCTTCACCATTTTTGCAATCTTCTCAAAAACAAAAATATTGCAATTTTTAAAATGATTTGTTCAGAATGCACTACACTACATCTTGATAACTATTATTGCATAAGGGTTTTCACATAATTTATTGTAGTCAGCGTCGAAACAGGAAAATGTGATTTTATCAACATTTCACTCGTTCTTTACTTCTTTCATATTTTTTTCCTAATGTTCCCATAAATGGATTACATCATCTTTTATGTCAAGTTGTTCATGAAGACTTACACTACACCTTGGTGGCAATTATTATTTATCATTGTTCACACAATTTTCTATGTTCAATGTCAAAACTTTAACTTTGATTTTCTCATCTTCATGTTTTTTGTCAACGTGCTTAGCCTTACGGGAGTTTTCATGAGGTTTTTATTGTAGCATTTTGAAACTTTTTATACCGTTTTATTCAGAAAGGACTGGACTATGGAGTAAAGCTATTTTTTTGCAGTTTATAATGACAACGAAAATTTTATGATAAATAATGCGACCTCATTAGTGTCATAATTAGCATAATTAGTACATTTTTATATTATAATGTAATTTTGTGAAAATATAAATAGCTTTATAATGCATGGCAGACCTTTAGCTATGCATCTACATCAATAAAAAAAATATTTTTTGTTCGAAATGGCCTTAACGACCCGTAAGAAATTAACCAAATTAGGCAACACTATTTTTTATAACTTGAAAACTAATTGAGATATTTTGAAACTGATTTCATATTTGAATTGAGGAAGAAGGAACACATATGCACAGTGATTTTCATTAGTATAGCTGCAAAAATAAAATAGTCCATTTTAGAACCAGTGTCTCGCCTTAACCAATAAGAACTGCTTTTGTAGAGCCTGGTACTGATGTAAGATACAGCTAAAAGAGGCATTTTCTCTATTAAAATTGAAAAAGTGCCTAAACATTATGTGGCCAAGCGCTTGGTCCTGTCCCTTCTTTCTCGTGATATTTTTTAGGCGCTTTTCCAGTCAAACATGTACTATCGTGGAAAAATGAAATGGGAACAGAGGAGCGCGTGGCTCGCTGTACAGGCTGCGGCACCTGGAAGTGAGCCTAGGGGCGAGGGTGCGTGGCTTACTTCGATGTGTTTACGCCCTTCGCTCGGCGCTCCCCAAGCTTCAGCAGTGCGCCTCTTAGTGTACTGAAAGCTATCACGGCTATCTTTGCTTGCTTGGCGCGTGCGGCGCAAGGAAGCTTGCCGCTAGTAGTAGCTAAAGCGCGCGCTGGCTGAGCGCACGCTTTAAGTTCTATTAGCGGCAAGCTTCCTCGTGCCGCGCGCGCCGAGCGAGCAAAGATAATGTGTGCTTCAGATTACTTGGAGCAATGAGGAACCTGAATTAGACTTTTTAGACTAGCAAAAATCATCTAGTTGCAAAGACAGTCATCATTCACATAGAGATCAGCATCATATTCAGCTATGTTTATGCCAACCAAAATTTTTAAAAGTACTACAACTACACATCACTAAAACAAAGTAATCGAGTGTTTTACACCAAAGTCAATCAAACTATAAAAGGTGCCGGCTACTCCGCGCCACACTTAGTAATCGGACACACTAGAAGGACAGAGAGACAAACCTCGAAGATGACCGACTGGTTGTTCTTGCGCAGGTAGTAGGCAAACACGTAGGTGTACATGAGGGTCTGCCGGCACTGGCACAGCACATCCACTGCCTTCTTCAGGAACTGCACCTCAATCCAAGACATGTTGTGCTGCTGCATCTCCTCCATCTTCTCCTTCACCGCCGCATACAGCTACACAGCAAGGAGAAAGCAGGCAGAGCTCAGGGGTGTCCTTCCTGCCGTCGGTTACCACAGTCCCCATAGCCGTGACTTCAGCCAATGCTACAAGCGCAGCAGCACGAGATTGCGGCTCCAATTCTTCTGCAGAGCAAGTGCTCAAGCTAGAAAGGCAGTCTCAAAATCGTGCGCACAAGCTAGGTCGTGCTTATAGCTCTGGCTGGAGCCTCAGCTCCAAGGTGAACGAAGCATTTGAGACTCCAGCAAAATGGGCAGCACTTAGCGGGAAAGCATCAAACTAGCCGAAACAGGTCCCCTTGCGATTTCAGCTTGTCTGTCGTGGCTTCCGAGATAGGATGTTATCGGCAGTTGGCGCGGTGGCTACCGAAGTAAAACAAGGAGAGTGGCGCTAATTGCTTGCAAAGCAATCAAAACGGCTGCAATGACAGTGCCACATGGAAAACCATGACTTATAATGACCTCAGGAATTGGGTGCACCTTGCATTGCTTCTCGTGTTGTGTAGGGCGACGGACAGTTGTCCCGGTGACTGTTGTTACTTGCCCGGAACTCAACCTAAACAACCATGCGAACCAGACATTTGCGTCATCGGCGCAGTAGAAAAAACGGTAAGTAGTTCTTTCGTAGGGTGACCAGACGTCCCGTGTGGCCGGGACAGTCCCGTTTTTGAGGTCCGCTTCTGCCGTCCCGTCTTTTGTCCCAATACAGAGTCATGTCCCCTTTTCACAGGAGTGAATAGTTCCGAAATCGGCACCAAGCGAGTTGAAGCAGACAAACTCTTTGAAACCCAACAAATAGATGCGACTGAATAGTGAGTGTGACTGTTCCCTAGGCTAGGGCTTAGTGCAATATGGTAATGCCTTGAAATAAAAGCAGTTATTTCAATAAAATGTTTTCTGGACCGAACGTCCAGAAAGCATTGGACTCCCTAGCACCCTGTAAAACTGAAAACTGAAGCCTGCAGCTGCTTCCGTTCTAGCGCTCAGGACAGTTAGCAAGGCCGTATGTCGGCCACTATCTAAACGACCACATGGACAAAAAAATGTTTTAAAGAGGAATTATTAGAAAAATGCAGGTCGGTAAAAAGCCAGAAAGAAGAATGCGTAAATCTAAAAGAGAGGACAAAGGCAGACAACACGACGGGGTGGCTTTATCTGCCTTCCTCTCTTCCCTCTTCCCCCTTCCCCCCCCCCCTTCCCCCCCCTTCCCCCCCCCCCCCAATGCACTAGTAATTTCGCGTTCTCGGTAATGTTCTAACCACATCTCGCTTCACGGCAGGCTAGAACAACTTTCCATTCAGACGTCCGTCATTTCTCGCAGATAAAGGATTATTTAGATGGCAGTCGTGCTATGGTGTAGTCCCGAAGCCGCAATGAATTGCACAAGAAGAGCTGGCACGTCATGTTGTCGGATGTTGCGATCCCGGTGGGTGGCGACAAAAATGCTGGCGAAAAAGGTGAGCGGACATGAGGGTCGCCATCGCCGCCGTATCCCACCTAACGTCTGCTTCACTTTCTGTCGGCTCTCTGATTGCACAATGACCTACGGCAGAACGCCAAAATCTCGACGGACATGAAACTTTCACGAAGTCATAGGGCAGAAATTGGGGCACGCAATAAGCACACGACCCAGAAACGCATTCCGGGAAACATGTTCGCCGAGCAGCTGCGTCGTATGACGGCAAACGTAATGCCACACGCCTTCGCAGCACCCCGCGAGCGGCCCTGCCCGCCGGCGGCCGACGGTGAAAAAGGCGCAGGCGGGGCTTACCTTGTGCTCGAACTTGAGGCTCTGCATGTGGTTGAGGTAGCGGTTGCAGTAGAAGAGGTAACGCTGGAGGGCGGCCCTGGACCGCTCCTGGGCGTCCCTGGCCGCCTTGGCCTCCTCCTCATCGTAGCGGTTGCAGTTGTACCACGATGACCCGTGCGGCTCCCAGGGCCCCAGGCAGACCCAGCAGAAGTCTGCCTTGCAGTTCTGGTTCTTGCACACCATGTGGTTGCAGCCCCCGTCCTTCTCTATCGTCACGTTGCACTTGGGGCACTCCTGCAAGGTACCGTTAGCTTGAAGGCAAACTCTTCCTCACCGAAGGGGCCTTTCCAAAGCTCTAAAGATTCCTCTCCAGAGGCTATTCTGAAATTTTTTAATTCCTCTTCGTTTTATTAGGAAACCTGAGTACGCTGGGGGCATACCTGCGCGGCGTGCCATTGCACCCGCCGTTTGTGCGAGCTTGAGGGGAAAAAGAAGTTCAAACATTTCCCCACGACCATGGGGTCTTAGGATTTTTCCAAAGCTCTAGAAATCCCTCTCCAAAGGCTTTTCAGAAATACTTTTTCTTTTTCATTTAAATAGAAAATTTAAGTGCTCCAACCAGAGATGGACCTAGCATTTCACTGCCCTAGGCAGCCTTTAATAATGCCCTCCCACCCCCCACCATTCGCTCCCTATGGTCAGCGACCATGAAGAGTTGGAAGCGGTAGCTAAGTTTGGAGTTAAAAATTTTGAAAGTAGCTAGATTTGGAGCTAGGATTTCCAAAATAGCTAAATTCAAAGCTGTATTTAAAAAAAAATTCAATTATTTTGGGGACGGCCACAAACTGGCCGCCTCAAAAAGTTTGCCGCACAAGGCAGCTGCCAACTCCGCCTATTGTTAAGGGGGGACACTACCTGGGAATGTCAACATTTGAACCGCTCACTTAATCAGTGTGATATTTGCAGGTGGTGTTTGCAGCCATATAGAAGGAGGGCACGCAAAGTTTCAGTCCTTTGAACCAATTTTATGAGGTACTATACCCCCAGAACGAAGTGAAGCATAGCCCTGCATGGAATCTGCTCAATGATTAAAACATGAAGAAAAAAAAAACAGATTTTTCTGGTGGAATGGATACTGGAATATTTGTTTCCAGTTACTATGAAAATAAATTTCAGAAAATATTTTCTAAAAAAAAAACAAATATTAAAAAAAATTTTACTCTTATTAGGTCTTGCAAATTACAATTTTTCATAATAAAGGAACATAAAAATGCAAAATCTAAGTTCATAGTAATTGACTCCATAAAATTTCGGCATAGTAAAAGCCACAAATATTAAGTCTCTCGATAATCTCATACTGAACAATAACAATAGTTATTTCATACTGTAACTCATACTGAAACTATAGTTTTATTAAAGTGAAATTTATGCCAAAAAGTGGAATGAAGAAAACCCCCCCCCCCCCCCCCCCCCCTTTTTCTTTAGCATCGGTTGACCGAAAATAATTTATCAGAAATGAACTATGCAGTGTAAACTAATGAAACTTCCTGGGAATACTTTCTTAGAGAGTATTTCCGGAAAATTTCATTAGTTTACACTGCACAGTTAATTTCTGATAAATTATTCTAGATCAGAGGTCGGCAACTCACAGCCCACATGCAACCCGCGAGGCAGTTTTATGCGGCCCCCAAATTTAGAGCAATATTGATGGTGGAAGGAGCAATTTAGTCGGCAGTCACCTCATTTGCACCTGTTTTGTTTCGGCATTTTTGGCTCGTGGAGGAGAGGTGGATTGGCTTGGCCATCAAGTGGAGGTGGAGAGAATGTATGACCATCTTGTTTAGGTGGAAGGAGTATATGACCATTCCGTGACGTCATGGACTTTGCACACAGAATTTTGAACAAATCTTGCGCCGTCAATATTGATCTAAAAAAGGTTTTCTCTTTTCTTTTTTTTTTTTTGCATAAAATTGTTTTTGACACACGTGTCCCAACAAGATTGCTTAGAAAAAGTCTAGACAAGTATGATTAATGCAGCTGCCGACCGATTTTTCGGATGCCGAAATCTCGGACATGCTCGATTATTCTAACTTTCTGGAACCGTTATTTACCCATAAAGTTAATGAACAGTGATAGAAAATTCAGACAACATACACATTGTTGCTCGATTTTCGGGACTTCTTCGCGACCACCATACGGCCCCCACGAACCGAACCGCCGCCATTTCTGTTTTTCTGGTTTGACCTGTAGCCCCGGCACTGAGTTCTATGCATGCCCTACCCCAGGAGACACTGTTTATGTGATACAGAAGCTGGATTGAGACTATAATTAAAATCGTCACATTTTTTTCTCAAAGTCGAGGTTGATTTGATTGGCGCTTCTGTTTTGTGTTGTTCACACAGGGATTGTAGTAGTCTAAATATCCGGGTACTGCCCGTTGCCATTCCGCGTGTGCTTTCTGCAGTCATCTCCAAACAGTGTCAAATGGTGCCAACTACATCTTAACTTCCCTGTCTGCATCAACGGCTAGGTTCTAGTCAGACTTTTATTTTTGTGCTGCTCCTCTGGGAAGCCTGTCGAATGCTCAGAGAGACTGCGGTTATATAAACATTCGTGAACCGCCTTAATGTCCGTCGCTGCTCTTTGTTTAGAGTTTATGGACAACTTGACCGACGCTATTGTGACATTTAAAAGCTCATGGACGTGGAGAGTGCATCACAAACCACTGAACTGCGAGACTATCCAATTACTAAGAGGCGAAGCATCGGCCAGTCAACTACCGGACTGTTTATCCAGCAATTTAGTATATAAAGTGCCAATACAAAGGGTCTTCGGCTGAATTCACTTTTTCGGACTGCTCGATTATTCAGACTTGTTCGGGTCGAATATGGACAATCGGTCGGTGACTGTACACAAGATTGGAAAGGTAGGTGATCTAGCACGAGTTGGAATTCAGAGCAATATTTGAAGAAGAGCAGTGTAAATGTTTCTGGGTTAAGTGTCGCAAGCTGCAGCCCGATAAAAAAGGTATAGCCAATACCATCCATCGCGACGTAATCTGGGCGGTAAAAACGTGTTCCCGACGGATAACAAGGTTTGTTGGTGTGAAATAAACGCTGGAAATCTTCACTCCAGCAGAACAGAAAAAGAAATTTGTGGCAAAAATCTGCCTTTTAGACTGCCCGCTCAACCTGCAAGACTTACAACATGTGACGTTGCCCCGCTGGAAACTGCAGAAAAATAAATAGCACACCAGAAAGGGTAAGAAAGTCAGCCAGTCCAAGTGTCCCACCCACCTTGGTGTTAGCGGCGATCCAGTTGGAGGTCTCACTGTCGTCGTCACATTTCTTCTGCCACTTCTTGAGCAGGTGGCACTTGACGGGGTCGTGCCAGTTCTCCCCGCAGGAGAAGCTGCAGGCAATTGAGGCACAAAGACGGCTCAACAAGGGAACCAAACAGGCATAGTCGGGCAGACCCAACAAAGACGCATTGCAGTTCACGTTCTCGGCATTATCTTGGAAAGCAACAATTTTTCCAGAAAACAACACACCAAGTCAGGTTCCAAATACTATGTAAAAAAATAATTAAAAGGAAAACATTATTTATATTTTTTCTCTAATGACTCGCAGCAATGGCAAAAAGAAAATTCCATCTTCCAATCCAGATGCTTTACTTCTGCACCTACAGCATTTTCATTTCAAGAACTTTAAGTACATTCGATGAAGTGGATGGGGGTTACACCCCAAAGTTTGCTCCATACTTTCCAACCGCATACACGACAAAAACTAGGGACCGAGGAAACACGGAAAAGACAGTCTTTTCCGTGCATGCTCTGAACCTTTTCGTGGCTCTAGATCACGAGCTTTCAAGATGCTGAAAGTTGACCAGCTTGCCCTTGTCTTTGGCGTTCTCATTAGTGATGCAAAACTATCGATAAATCGGTTATCGATGCTATCGATAGTTTTTCGGTAGTCGACTATCGATAGTACTATCGATAGTTTTTCGATAGTCAACTATCGATAGTACAATCAATAGTTTTTCTATAGTCGACTATCTATAGTTTTTCTATAGACTACTATCGATAAAACTATCGATAGTCGACTATCATTAGTTCATTTTATAGTCGATTATTGATAGTTCTGCGACATAATCAATAGTTTTATTACTATCGTTAGTAAGATTTCTGGCGACTTTCGATACTATCGATAGTGCTGTCGATAGTTTTGCATTACTACAGCAGACACAGTCGCTGCACCGAAGCTCGCATCCCTTCCTCGTCTCTTCGCCCAACCTCCCGTCTTCGGTATCACTGAAAGCTGAACCAAAGTTAGGATGGTAAGTGCTTGGGCTAGTTGGGTATCCCATTTGAAAAAATAAAGCGAGAAACAGAGAAGAGGGAGCGACGCAAACTACTACTGTCGCAAAACTATCGATAGTGTACCGTCGACAGTACTATCAATAGGTTTACGATAGTCTATGATCGATAGTACCATTGATAGTGTTCCGATAGTCCACTATCGATAGTTGTTCAATAGTCGACTATCGATAGTTTTTCGATAGTCACTATCGATAGTACTATTGATAGTTTTTCTATAGTCGACTATCAATAGTTTTTTTACTATCGATAGTCAGATTTCTGACGACTATAGATACTATCGATAGTTTTGGACCGCTAGTTCTCAGGTCACTGGTAGAAAGTGCACATACTGTTATCAGTTCTTGTTTTAATGTCACAACAAGCAGATATGACAGGGCACCACTACAAGTCATCAAACAACTTAGTGCTGCTGACTGTCAGAGGTGAATAACATTTGTATCTACTGGGTTGTGACGGTTTCCGACCCCAGTGAGCCAGAAGAGCTCATCTTGTGTACCATATTTACAGACTAAGCTTGTTAAAATAGACCTTGATTTTGACCAAGGTTTCGGTCCGTTGTAAAAGGAGTATGTTGTATGGAGATATGAAGTTGAGTCAATGGTAAGTAAAGAACACGGTGTAAGATACACTCTAGGTGAGGACACGGCGGGGCTCAACGCGCGGCGTGAAGAATCAGATAGTGTTCGTTCGACGAGCATCCGAAAGGCTGCATTATTCCGCGGCCACCGTGCCCGTGGCTGACAGTGTCGCCGGTGGCCAAACGGCGAAACTGAGTGAGAGCGAAAAAAAGTATCTCATTGCCAAGACACCTCGGTGCACCGTGCTCTTTCTGCACGAGCGACAACCTCGCTAGAGCTCTGCGCGTGTGGAGCATGAGGCGGCACGAGGCGTCTTGCACCGTGCCCACGGGTCGACGAGTCATCTGCCGGCACCGCTTGAAACCAGTGAGAGAAAGAGAGAGAGTGAAAAGCGAACTTTATCTGCCCTGCGCGAGGAGCGCACTGTCCTCACCTGAAGAGTATTATCTTACACCGTGGTAAAGGACAACCAACCAAATTTCACAAATCAGTATGCTACATCCAAATGTCTGTTGCACCCTGGTCTATTATGAGCTTAAAGGGATACTGAAGCGAAACTTGAAATACACCTATTATGGTCAGAAATAGGTTCAATATGATCAATGATATTCATAAATCATAATCGCGCGTTTGTATTTTGAACGGATGGCTATATTTTTCACCCTGATGGGCCCGATTGGGCGCGCGCTCAAAAATCGGCCATCGGAGAGCGCGATGCGTCTTGGGATATTGGGCGCATTCGTGACGTCACTTGTGCCGGTCGGGAAAGGCTACGGCGTGAATGTTGTGGTTACGAGCGTTGCCACTTGGTGGCGCGTCGATGATTTACGACCTGTGACAACGTGGCCGTTTGAGATGTGCAAGGGCTGCACGCACGCTGCACCACGGGACCACGGCAAGTCGGCAACCACGGCAGCACTGACAAAACCAGCTCTGAGGCCGGATTCTCAAAGCGAATTCACGACGAAAAAAGTGCGTACGACAAATTTGAGAGAAAACCCGTGCTCTCGAAACGAAATTGTCGTAACCTTTGCGCAGGTTACGACAGAATCCTACGACAGCTCCGAAGCTGTCTTACGCACTTTTTACGATCAAATCAACAAGGCCGACAGCGTCGCTCAGTTACTTGGTATCGGCCACCAACGGACATTTATTTTTCTTCGTGCTCTTCTCGTGCGTCCCGACTTCAACCAGCAAGAAAAAAGGAAGGAGCACTTAAAACAGACCACGATCAAGAACGCAGGATCCACAAACACACGAGAAGAGCTACAACAGCCACGATTCTGCCGACCGAGCGAGCTCGGCAGAATATAGTAGGCCTAGCAGCAACATCGACTCGGCGCATCGTTGCTCCGGCGGTCCTTGCCCAAGATTGTCTGTCCATGACCGGCTAACCTGCTGAATGGAATATGCCCGCGCGACCCTTGTGGACCCTTACCGGATGAGTAATTTGATCCCTGAACTAAATTTCAGAGGTCAATATTTTCCCCTTGTCATCTCAATCTCCTTGTTTTCCGAGACAGCGGTGACGAACGCTGTCGTCGAAAAGGGACTCTCATTGATTCTATCTCCTTGTTTTGTGTGATATAGAGCTCAAATAAACGCCATACGGATTACCTTGGCAACTCGGTATGTACACTCTGTTATTAGTATGCCATTTTTATTCTGACTCGACGCTACGTCAGTGTAGAGCTATAGCAGTTGGTGGGAGCTACGCGATGTCGGTCTAACCTTTCTTTGCCGAGTGTCATGTCAGTATCGAGTTGCAATCGTAAAAGATTGGTCCAGAAGCGCTTACCGAAACGCGGTCTAACAGAGCGAATCCAGCACTTCGATCAAACGCGCGTGTCCGCTCCGAGTGTGAACAGGTATTTGGCATTTGCGTGGCTCTTGCTGACACCCTCGTAGTTCAAACATATCCTTTTTAACGTCGGCTTGCAGCTCGCGACTCGCAGCAACTAATACCGGCCGTGCCAGAAGCATGCTCGGGCCGTGTCGTGCAAAGAGCCGCAACGAGAACGAGCTCACTGTGGCCAACTACGCTTTGGCTTTCTCCGCCAAGGCTTTGCGAACGCGTTCAGGCCTAGGCGAAGTCTGCCGGCACGCCGTATTGCCGCAGAACGGCGCTGCTATTTTGGCACAAGTGATGTCACGAGAACTTCCCCCCATCCACCAGATGAGAATTTGAAATCGTTTAATTATGTTTAAAATTAGTTCTCCTGTGTTTTACAGCGCAATATTTATATTTCCGAGGTGGTGCCTGTCCCTAGCCCATATTTATGCAGCAAGATCGGCGCTAAAATTTCGTTTCACTACCCCTTTAAACTGAACTCGCATAATGAACGCACCCCCCAAAATGGGTACCAATATTTGGACTTTTTTTTTCCCTTGCGTAAGGAACGCACTTCCAATTTTCGACTCCACGAGTCTCGAATTGCGTCCAATTTAGGTGCCACAAAGTAAATTTTCTTTTTCCACAAGCGGTCAGGCCAGGCCAAGCCAAGTCACTTTTGTAATCGCTGCAAGCAGCCGCAAGTGCATAGTTGCAGAAGTGATTAACCGTGAAACCAAGCGGCAGGCACACTTGACGAAGCTTGGGTCGAGGAATTGCCCAGCCCCGAACATTCTTCGCCGATCGGATTCATTGATGCCAAAAAACACGCCGCCGTCCGTCGTCTACTTTTGGACAGTGAGAGAAAGTGGTTAAGCCTAAAGCGCAAAACACACGTACTACGAAAACCGTCTGATCCGATATCCGATCAGGCAATACGACAATCGGAGGCGAGGGTTTTCAACACTGTCCGGTGCTATGAAAACCCTCGCCCCCCGAGGTCGTTCCGGTAGTCCGCACGTCGGATCAGTCTGTTTCGTCGTACATGTGTTTCGTGCTTAAGAAAGGTCACCTTGCTCTCCGTGCTGAGTGAGCTTCGTAGGGCGCTATTTCTCCAGCAAAAGGCATGCCAAAAGAGCCCTAAAAAAAGGTTTGCGATTTATAGAGCATGATCACTGTGGTGCGCCCACAACAAGCCATGTGCGCACCTCCGTCAGTGGAGACGTGCTACAGTACCCTACCATGTCATATTGGCATGTAGAATGACATTTTGTGCAAAGTGTGTGAATGCAAAAATTTTACCCTGCGATTTAAATGCTCTCCTCTCCTCCTCTCCCTCTCCCCCCCCCCCCCCCCCCCCCCCCCGCCAAAATATGGGTCAATTTTTTGGGAAAAAGAGAGAGTACATTATGCGGGTAAATACGGTACTGCTCCTGCTTGCCTTTGTGCACCGTTTCACTGACGTTTCTTTAAGATACTTGTCTCTGTATTGGCTTTCTCAAATACACTGATGGCATTTTAGCTTTTGTAGCAGGTTCTGTAGCAGGCAAAATATTGGTTTGTAGCAGCCACTGACGCTTTTAGGGCAGATGCTAGCATCTGTTAGCACGTCACTTGAAACTGGACAAGTGATTGCATAGCTAAACAATTTCACCTATGATAGTGATTGAGGGTTCCTCTTTGACACTGAAGCATATTAATTACGACCTTTAGAGATAAAAATAGATAGGGTGTAAAAGGAAGGCAGAGCCTCCTTTTTAGAAATAAGGCTAGGGGCAGAGTATGTCCCATTTAATATTAGTGTTAAAAAAATGCCTGAAAAAGGAATCGTGCTGGAACACTTCAATTGGGATAAAGCCTTTCTCCCCTTCCCCTTTACACTCGGTAGTTTATTTAGCCTGTAAATATGATCTATGTAAAATGACACCAAAAACAGCATATCTGCTAACATGTCTATCAATGAAAAATTCACTCCCAAGTTTTATGAACCTACTAAGCTCAAGACTCTTATATCATAAACTGCGAAAACCACCACCCACAGGTAGTATGAAAGCCTACACTTCTGCTTTAAAGATGGCATTGGAATGGAACTGGAACCAGAGTTAGGCCAAAGTTCGCTGCTCTTTCCATCGACAGCTATGCAGAAACTAGTACCTTGACTACCATATTTATTCAAATATAGACCTCCGTTGTTCATTTTTTTTTTCCCTTGGCGCAGCTTTTTTTTAAATTAGAGATCAACGTGCAATCGAGACCAGAGAAGGTTGACCTATAATAATACTGAGCATAAATTCTTTGCCTGTCTCACTAACCGAGGCACTCCCCCATGTCAGCTGCTGCTCCTAGCACTCCGGTGCCAAGTGCTGAAGCTCGACATGCATGCCCCGGTGAGAGGGGGAGAAATTTGACGCGAGTGGTGCAAGTGCCACGGTACACTGCAGCGACAGCACGGAGGCATGTGGCAGATGTGAGAATCGAGTGATCTCACCAGGAGCACAAGACCCTGGTTTTGTCTTGTCACAGTAGCCACCATCCTACCATTTTAATAAGTTTTCTGGCAACTTCTCGCTCCTGACATTGTCTAGACATTTAGACGACGTCAGCAATCAACCGGCGAGTGTGGTTCACAGGCAATCTCTATACATCGTTTCACCTTCAGTCAAGACGCAGCCAACGCTACGAGCCAATGGGACAGATCAAACAGTACCGAAGCTCAACATCGTGGCATTCGCCATCCACCTGTACATGTCCCTTCGTCGGCTAACCAGTCAATTGCAGCGCTTCGCCTGTGCTCCGACCTAAGATGAAACAAACTATACGGTGAGTAGAGTCGCCGTATGAAATGCATATTCATACTGTTGTTTTTTCCTCCCACTTCTCCGAATACCAGGGTGGACCAACAAGAAAATATTTTTATTTTGCCCATCTAGACGCAGGTGTGGCGCAATTCTGAGCAAAAATGGCATTTTGGCACAAGGTGTAGCAGACTCGTTCACGGCGCAATTTGGAGCAGCACTCCCATCACTTTGAATAGCCTAATGCAAACTTAGGCTCTCGCACACACGCTTTAAAAAGGCTTAAAGGGACCATGAAGGAAATTTCAGTATTTTTTAAAAGAAGGTGTTTTCGAATGCATTGGGGTCCCAGCACACCACTCTATTTTTTTTTTTTTTTTTTAAGCTCCGCGATTCTTATTTATGTGCCTAGAAATTAATTTTTTAAAGCAAAACAAACATGACGTTGAGTAGCACCATTGGTTGCCTGTAGGATTTAGTGGATGCTGAGCGTAGTTCCCGCAGTTTGCTATGGTGCACAGCAGTCTGCGAGCTAAAAATACATTCGACGACGACGACGTGCTCGCAGACAAGTTGCTTCCGTTCAGGGACCTCATACCGACAGAACAAGGCATGCTTCTCAGGACACGGAACTCTGGATTGGCGCTTTACGAGGGAGCTCAAGACTTGCCAACGACACCTCGGTTGCCGCTTCAGAGCAAGCAACTCTACCAACTCTCCACCCGACTCACCGACGCCACCGCAGAACCAAGAGTGCGTTATTTGTTTGAACCAATTGCCTGATGAGGAGACTGTGTCATCATGCTCCAACATCATGCAGCGCTTTAGTTCACATTTCTGCCGCCGTCTCGAGGAAGGGAAGGGGAAGGGGGGGGTTCCGGCATCGTTCCTGGTGCAATTATTACCATACCTGTTTAACTGATTGGTGCGGCACCCAAGCGTCCGTTCGGGCTAGAACTCGATCAACAGTGTCCAAGATGTGCCCAACACCCATTTCAATTGTCAAAACTTCCAAATCACCTTCATGGTCCCTTTAAAGAAGCTACCATCCCAAATCTTCCAGCGAGTATGCCAGACAGGGATAAGTCAGGTTGGGTGTAAAGCAGGAAGAGAGAGCCCCTAGGCACACTGCTCACCAGAAGGTGTGGGAACAGGAACAAGTCACAGGTTGCGTGTCCACATACTGCACTTTTATCGCGTTGTTGCACTCGGGCTGGGGACACCACCGCAGGAGCCGATTGCACTGGAACAGACCGTCGGATTGGTCAAGACAGCGCCCTGACTTTGACACAACACACCCTACAGAGGAAGACATACTGTGGCAGACACGTTAAACAAATGGCTGCTCATGTCATAAAAATTGGGATGATGTATGGTACTCTAACCCCCCAAAAAACAGGCATGTGGTGTTGCTAAATTTGTGACAGGCACTTCTGATGATCACCTAATCCTCTCAGTCACAGTGGAGAACAGATGAATAGAATCAGTTCCAAGAGGTCAATGAGCCTGCCCTTGCAAAGTAGGAGCCTCAAATATTTTAAGCCGGCAGCTACCAGACTTTTAAAGGGTTTCCTCGCAAAACAGTACCCATTTCTTGTATGCTACTCTTGATGAAGTTAAGAATGGAATTCCCCCTTCCCCAAGTAAATGTGAGAGGCAAGATCCCCGCAGCACGCATCCTACGAATTTATTGTTCTAGAGAAATTATTGTAATAAATTTGGGACCACAAAGACATCCAGAACTATCAATAATGACCACAGGGATGTGCCAAACTTAACATTCGGGGATGTTTGGTGGCTGAAACAAATCTCAATTCCCATTTGGAGCTCCCATTAATATTTGGATGATACTGAAAATGGTCACGGGTGACGACGTTCGAGGGCTTTACAGCACAAAAGCAGTTACGCCTGTATCAATGACAGTGGGAATGGACTTACAAAAGCAAAGATCAGGCCCTTTTCCATGAAGAGAAAAATACACCAGGACGTCACTACATCTCTGCAGATTTCCCACAGCCCAACCCCATTTTTGGTAGCCTGTCCGACCTCTCCAGAGATTCTCCGTCGGCGGTCATCTCAATTGAAACATCTCCACGTGGTGAATGATGTTGATTGGGGCAAAGCTCTGGTGGTGCTTGTCTGCGTAGACACTGAGCCGCAGCATGCCGAGCCTTTCGTTCGTTTTCATCCATGTCAGAAAGAGAATGTGTGGTATGGAACGTGGTTATACACGCATTTGAGCATTTGACCGCAGCACCCTCTCGTCTATAAACGTTGAGCCAACGCATGCAAAGTTTAACGCGATTATATACATATTTGACCGCAGCGCCCTCTCCTGTACAGACGTTGAGCGGCTACAGGCAACGTTTCATCCATGACATCCCCAGCTCTTGAGTTACTGCCACATCTCAAAGCCCCCACTCGTCCCGCAGTCGTGGCCGAGTGGTTAAGGTGATGGACTAGAAATCCATTGGAGTCTCCCCCCGCACAGATTTGAATCCTGTCAACTGCGCAAACATTTTTTCTTCATCCTTTTTTTTTTGCTTTACACGAGCACGAGAGCTCACAAGCACGATCGCGAGCACCAGCAAGATTGATGTAAGCACTGACGCCAGATGGACAAGGCTAGACCCTAAGGAGCTTCGCCCCTAAAAAAGCTCAATAGAGGCTCCAGATGTTAGAGTAATTAAGCTCAGGCTCTCCCCTCAAAGGAGAAACCAGATATACGAGACCAGAGGACGGGCCACCCACCTCGACGAAGCTGTTGGTGATGAGGTGCTGGTACTTTAACTTCACCTTGGGGTCTGCTATGAGCTTCCTGCAGGGGCGGGGGGGGGGACACGGAAAGACAAAAGGCGGCCATGCACATCAACCTCGCAAAAGAGAGATCACGCTGCTCCACGAAACTCACATTACTGTCTGGTCGTCCACCAAGATGTCGCATCCGTGGGCCGCACAGGAGATGGTCTGCAGAGATAGTACTGAGACTTAAAAAGAACATATATCCCGCACTAGGCTTCCACTACACATAGTCAGTGACAGGTTAACTTTTCGAGGTAATGAGCCAGATGTCACCCAGCAAAGAAATATTCTCATTGCGGTCAGGCGTCGGGGCTTTCCCAACTGTCTCGTTTCTGCTTTGCTATCAATAGTTGCGAGTGCCCCGACAAATACATCGGGAACATAAGCACGCGCCTCCTTGGGTTTTACGCGAGATGACGTGACCTTTCTTCACTTTCTTCTGGACGAGCGTTGGTAAACAGAGCTGCGCCGCTTGTTGGTCTATACTCTGCGTCAACCATTTTGTGCTATATTGTCAAAGCTAGCATAGCTTCCACTGAGCAGCAGTCCCGCTTCGCTGCGAGGACACGAGGCTTTGTCTTTTGCGCCCTCATTCACGTGTGCTCGTGCAACTAGCTTTGAAAGAGTTGGAGCACTGCGGCACCTAGGCTAGCTTTGACAACGTAGCACAAAATAGTTGACGCCGAGTGTAGGACTCGATGCGCATCCATTTAAACGTTGACAAATCGGCCTCATTCGAAGGACGATTGGAGTCGATGCGCTTAGGTCGCATACACGTAAACGCAGCGAACGACTGCTATAATGAATTTTCTGGGTAAAGCATGACCGATTTCGATACCCACCTGGCCCATGCCTTCCTCCATAATCTTGGTCGTCAGGTAATAGTTCCAACACTCTGTGCAAAACCGATGGTCGCAGGCGAGCCCAGTCATCATCTGTGACGAGAAAAATGCAAGCATGTAGCTAAGGGACAATTCAATTCGACTCCCTCAAGCTTTACAACTGTTGCAAATGGTGCAGCTAGGGTGGTTCCACCCACGATTCCTTTTTGGTGAGCCTGAGAACACAGCTTTCTTGTCTGCTGCATTACCTTGTCTCCCAAACCCATCCTCTCCTTTGACAGGTGCACAACTTGGCTAATTTGTTAGCTAATGTACCAATGACTCACTTTGGCAACACAACATTTGCCAGGTGTAAACCAGGAACCCTTATCTGTATTCTTGCTCAATCAAGTTGGAAGGGGAACTCTGACCAAAAACGAAACCAAAATAAATGACTGGTATTGTTTTAGTGGCATGAAATATGATCACAGCCGAAATATTGCATCAAAGTAAGCTGCGTACTCCACTAAAACCGATTTTTTAAGATGCGACAAGCTGCCTTTTAGAGTGTGACAAGAAAATTAGCTTTTAGTAAGGAATACTAACGCAGCACAACCGTGACGTCATGTCGCGGTAGAGCTGCGGTCGATTGGTTGTACCGTGTACCGCAGCACCACGGTGACGTCACGTCGTAGCCGTACAGCTGATGATCAGCGCTGCCACCCCTCTAACAGATAGTTTCAGTTTTGCCGTAGACGCCCGAAACCAAACTTTGAGCTGTGATATTTATAAAACTATACACAATATTGAAAGAAAAAATTATGCCTTATAATTCAAGGACACTGCCTTAGCTAAAAACAGTCGTAATCCCAAATTAAAATATAGTGACCAGAGTTGCCAATAAACCAGATGAATTTTAAGAAGCTACAAGGCGAGTGTCAAGTTGCTAACCGCTTGAACATACAGTGAGCCCCTGAGGCGTATTATATGGGGGATTATAATCTCCAAATTAAAACCATCCTTATATGAAAAAAAAAATATAAAAAAAGCTTCATGGTAAGAAATTTTTATATACAGCTTTAGTTAGTGTTGACCAGCAATAGAAACCCCTATGGAACTCTCCGCAGGGCTGCTGCTTTCTTTGGAACCACACACTTTATCTTGGTGCCCCCTTTTATTGGTTGGTACTGGCATCAGGCATGTAGCCAGGGGGGGGCCCGCCTATGACAAAATGCTGTATGAGGGGGAGGAGGGAGAGGAGGTCCCAGCAAAATGAAAGATTTCGGGGGTGGGGGGGCCGGGCCCCATGGGCCTCCCCCCTGGCTACGTGCCTGCCTCGACGTAAGCCCGATGAACACCCGATCTCCCGCCAACACCAAAAGTTGACACCGAAAGACCCCAGATTTGTGGCGAAAAAATAAACCCCAAAAACAAGGAACCTTGTTCGTTATTTAGTGGGGCTTGCTAAAGAAGCGTCGAAGCTGGTATTGAAAATGTTCGTCAAAAAGGGCCAAAAGCCGGAGTGTAATTCCGGACGCCTGAATTGATTCTGAATCAGGTATCAGTGATCATTAATGGATACAAGGCACCAGGGCCACAAGCCAAAGCATAATTCAAATAGTTCAATGGGGTCACTCAAGCAAGAAACAAATGCTTTTTGTCCAAGGACTGAAAACATAGCCCACAGCAACTTGATAAACTGCCGCTGAAATCAGAGCTCAATCTCTCAAGGACAAAAAGAATCGTAGGAACCACCTCCAAAAAACAATATGGAGATTGATTTATTGCTTCAACTTAAACGGCACAAAGGCTACAAAGGCTATAGAGTTCCACAAACAGTATCAATTGCAGGAAAGGTACATAGGAAAAGGAAGACATTCTGACACCCCATAGGAACACTCCGCAACACTATACACTCCCAGCATGCCGTTTCTCCCTTCGTCATGAGTTCTATTTACTCTCATTTGTGCGAGAGCGGTGTGCTCTTTCCTCATTTGGATGAAGGACTGCAAAAAGTGTGACATAGCTTAACATCTCTCGTCATAACAACCAGCTGATGATAAAACAAAAATAAAATTGGCAATAATGAAGCTTGCTGGTTTTGCTGACTTGTAAAGACGACACAACTAAAATTATGCCACCTTTTTCGCATTGAAACCCCTACACATGATCCTTACCTGAGTAACACTCATAACAACTCAGATGGCAGGCATTCAAAACATTCTAGGAGCCTGTCAAAGCGTGATGCAACAACAGATTCAGCAGTGCCGGCGTCATAGATACCATATATTTATTTCCCCTTCTCTAAACATGGCAAAACAATGGGAGTCGTTTTGAATCTGTTACAGAAAAAGTTTACACAGGAGTTCAGTTACTATTTTGCCAGCTACAAAAAAACAAACCTGTTGTGCTTATTCATTTTTTTTTTTTCCCAATGATATCTGCATTGTCAAGTACTTGTTCACTGGCATTATTGCCTCTGAGGGCATTGTGGGACAAGCACTCCTAGGTGACGCCAGAGTGCACAAAGAAACTCGGGTAATAAAAGCATGTGTACGAAAAGAAATTATGAGGGTCATCAAAAACTAAAAAAAACTACCAAGCAAAGCACAAAAGATGACTGCCTGAAAGTCGGAGGAAAAAATGAAGGTTCGGTATCTAGACGAGCACACTTGAACGCTCAGTAGTTCACAGTGCACCACTACCAAACTTTAAAAAAAAAGAAAAAAAAAGACAGTATGTGTATCACAGTACTTTGCTAAACGACACAAATAAGGTGCGACATGTGGGCGCCTTCTGACTTTAATGAGTCCCGTAACAATATTTGACCCACGAAATATTAGTGCATCATATTTTAATTCAATCGGGCAAAAACAGTGTAACGTTCGGTGGTGCCCCAGTGTGTTCAAAATGCGCATCTGGTGACGTTTTATGGACGACTTAGTGATTCGCAGCGTTGGCAACAGCCATCAAAATTTCTCTTGCGGAGGGCTAACCAACTTCTTTTGCGGGGGCTAACCCAGTGTATCACTCCTGTGAAGTATTGTTACTCTTTCAAAAATTTCTCATTTTTGCGAGAAAGGTTCAAGAAGAGAAAAGGTGCTTAGAATGCGCAAAAATAACAAAAACAAATAAACACTAATCCGGTTTCGCGAGCCAGCAGGGCGGATGGTTGATCGGCCCTATTCGGGAATCGCCATTTGGGATGTCGGAACCAGCGAGACGCTTGTTTCAGCAATTTGAATCTGCTGCCTTTGCCGTGTGTTGCATGCCCGCCGTCCTCGTAAGTCAGTTTGGTGTGCTCGTGTTTTCTGTGTTGGTCTCCACATCAGCGTACTCGATTGGACTAGTCTGTGCATGTTACTGGCGTTACCCCAGAAGCTTCGTAAGCCTAGTGAGCCAGACGTGCTTGCCCGGAACGCTGGTAAAAGCTTGAAGCTGGATGGCACACGCACCAAAGGTAGAGATAATTAGATTTCAAAACTACCTCACCTATAAGCTATGTGTAATTGTGTGATAGTCGCACGCGCCGGCGGCCGTTCCCGCTCTAAACAACAAATGCCAAGTGTTGATCCGTCCAAACGCAAGCCAGCCCGCAGATTCGTTTCGAGCGACAATGGGCACGGTTCTGTGATCTTTTTCTGCTGACATTGGTCACATTCGGGAGTAAAGAAAAGCTAATTTTAACTCACTGCCCCCCTCATTCACTTTTTTTTTAACCTATCACGGTGCAGCTAACCAGAGCCAAATCGCTGCTTCGATTACAATGATTGCATTGGTACCGATCAGCGAGAGCAGAAAAAATGTGAAGCAGAGCATGCTAGACCGCGCTGAGCGCGGCGGCGCCAGCAGGGCATGGCGTAGTGGATGACGTCGGACACTAGTCCTTTGGCAAAGACCACCACGGCATCAAGCTTTTTTTTCTGTGCTATGTGTAGTTTCTGCAGGAGTGATTTGGCCCATGTTTCCAAAAACATTCTATAATAAATGAAATCACATAATTCCTGCCACAATAAAAGTGCACAAGGAAAAGCTATGCCAAAAATTCTTAGCTTTATACTGGAGAAAGAAAAATAATAGGGTGGATAAAGTTTCCCTAGCACTGAAGATTTTGTCCAGAGAGAAATCGAAACAATGCCTACAGACACTGCCTGGAAACGAGACCTGCTGCTCACCGAACTCGGCAGATCCCGCAGGCAGATCTCGCAGTCCTCCATTCCAGGGGCAACCGGCCGTGAAGACTTCTGCAATATGAAGAGGTGCAAAGAACAATGTCACCCGGTTTTACGAAGCCCACAATGGCTGCACCCTACTTTGCACAAAAGCCACCAAAAACAAGAGATTGTAGCCTTTGTCATCAAAATGCTTGCCCATGTTTCAAGCACCCCCCCCCCCCCCCCCCCAAGAAAAACCAAAACCATGAGGTAGCAAAGAAAAAAAAAAGAAAAAAAATTCAGATGCAGATTGCTATAAAGAGGCCCATACCGCACAATCGTGCACGACCTCGACAGTCGCAACAGCTTGAGGTAAAAATGACTGAAAGAACGCGTCACTGCAAAAAAGTTGCTTTGTTACAGCGACGGAAAAACATGGGTTGGCAACGTGAGTGACAAACAAGCAACTGCACAAAAGTTGCACCAACAATTAGGTTCGTGGTACGGCTTTTGTGGAGGTCGATCGACCGAGTTTGCCTAGCGAAGGAAATAAATTTTAAAGTTGTTTGAAGGAACAAAAGTTAATAGACCGTTTTCCAAAGGGTGTGCAATCAAGAGGCTGCTGCGCCAATCATTCGAGTTTGGGTACATGCTCCGAGTATGCGTCTGACACAAGGGCCGCGTCGGCGTTCGGCCTGAACTTGGCTCGGCCCCCGTCTGAAACGAGTACTATGTTGGCGTGTGACGAGGACTCCATTCTGATGGTACGCCGTGTGCCCAAGAAAAGGCGACAGCCAATGTTACTTGATGGGCTTTCAAAAAGTGTCTATTAATCAAACCTTTCCCTAAATAATTCCAAAAATATATCTTTTGTTTACCATTTGTCTATTTTTATGCATTCCACACGCATTTGTTTCGTATTTACATCAAGGGCTTCTGAGAAAATCGAAACGTTGAGCTTTCTTGCTATCATCCACTTCGTTAGTCAGTTATGTAGCACTTTTCTCTAAGCAGATAAAAACATGAAAGAAAATAACGCTAAAAAAGCAATATCCTATTTTGAAGAATCAGAATACAAAAGTAAAAGCAAACAAAGCTTTTTTGCACACTAAAATTATCAAGCTGTTTTTATTCTGCTGTTGTGGGGTTTACCCAATAAAAAGTTCCTAATTAAACTGACTTTAAATTTGCAGTAATTATTTCTTCTGCATTCTTTTCAGTGACCGGACAGATTAATCAACCAGTCTGTCATGTTTAAAAGTTTATCTAGTGATTAAGTGTTATTTTACAGCAGCAGTGATTTAAATCAAATTAATCTGATTTATATTAAATAAATCAGATTTAAATAAAACCAATCTGAATTAGATCAAAGAAATCTGATTTACATGATTTAAAAACAATCACAATATTTTTCTACTTTGATGGATTAATTACTATTTCTGCATTCATATTCCAATTGTTTTTTTACCAATGCATCATATTAAATTGACACTGCTCTTCTGTTTTTCCCGTTAGAGCTGGTGTACTGCAAGGTGGCAATTAGGGCCCTTCGGTATTTAATTTGAACATAGACGATATTGCTAATGTCAGCACAGCCCCTTCCTACATAAATTATACAGATGATGCCAGTTTATTATTTTTTTTTTCAGGAACTGAAATAAAAAGACTTGTGTACAAAACAAATGCTTTGTACAGAAGCTGTACAAGTTGAGTGAAGTCTCAGTAGCAATACACATAAGCAAAGTAAGGCTGCCCTTTTTAAGCCAAAGAGCAAACATTTCCTTTCTTTTAATAAATGACTACCAAAATGACATTTTCGAATTCCCTGACCTTTCCAGGTTTCTCCCGTTTATTTTATCAAAATCTCCCGATCGACTCCTAAGGGAACGAGACATGTCTGAAGTGCATGCAGTCTTCATGTGAACATATTGCTATATCTGACGGCCGACAGGCTGGCAACCAACAACTGGATCCCGTATCTTGTCAGTCTATCTTTCCTATATTGTTTGCTGAATAAATACTGTTTTAAATAAGTCAACACATGATTGAAGCCATGACGTGTTTTTTTAAACTTTAATAAAAAGCAGCTGTGGCTCAATTAGATGCAACTCAACCATTTTCTTGTTTTTTTTTGTTTTACAGCTTTAAAGGGGTACGGAAACAAAAATTGAAATATTCAGATTTCGTTCGGAAATGAGTCAAGCATGACGTATATTAACCGTAAATGATAATCGCGCGTTTGTATTTTGAACGATTGGCCATATTTTTCGTTCCAAACGGTGCACTCGAGCAAGCGCTCGAAGAGAAGCGAACGGAGAGCGCGATGCGTCATGGGATATCCGGCGCAAACAAAAACAGAAAGAAAAGATTTCCCACGTTCGTGGAGTAGCAAGGCAGGCGTGGTTATGAGCTTTGCCCTTGGTGGCGTTGTCAGCGTTGTGATGGTGTCAATAGGGAGTTGTAGTAGATCGTTTTTCTCCTCCGCTACGGTATCCCCGAAGAAAACGCCGCAGCTGCGCATGCGCGCCCCCAGCCTTGTCTGCATAGTTCAGGGTCGTGTGGCGAATTACGGAGCGCTATCCGGGTGCTTAGCGCGCTGCGGAAACGCTCTACTACAATTCCCTAATAGCGTCAGCGCGTTACAACCGAGCCGCTCGAAGTGCCCGTGGGGCGACGAGCGTGTGGCTGGCCCAAGGAGCACGTAGCTTCCACAACACTGTCAGCTTAGGGCTGAACGAGGTGGGGAAAACAACTTTTGTTCGAGTTTTGAGCGACGTGCTAATCTTCTAGGGGGAGAATGGCTATGTCCGGTTGCACGAACGAGGGTCCGAGAAAGAGGGGAGTCCTTCCTTTCCGTCTTCGTGAACTGTTTCGTACAATGCGCGACTTGTGAGTTGAGGAGGAAAGCTAAGAAGGAAAATGTTGAAATACCAAAGAGCGGAGCTGCTCCGAAGGAAACTGCTACGTCACGACTACGTAGCAGTTTCCACAACGTTGCTAGACTACCTCCCAAATAGGCTCCGCATGCATCCACCAGGTGCACATTGAAGATCGTTTATTTAGCTTTAAAATTAGTTTTCTTGTGCTTTTCAACGGAAGACTGGTGTTTTTGAGGTTAGGGTGCAACATGCAACACATTAAAGCCAGAAAATGAGCGCTGAAATTTCGTTTCCCTACCCCTTTAAAGAGTGTGTATATTGAATAAGAGATGCCTTCGATTACTGTAAACGACTTCATTTTTGCAAATCACCTACATTTGCCAGAAAAAGGTCCTGTGAATATGTTTCCCTATAATAGCAAATACACAGGATACCACCCAGATTAGTGAAATATTGATTAATACCACACTTCGCCGAATTCGCAAAATTTTGAGCCTGCAAAAATAAAGTGGTTTGCAGTATTTAGAACACGAGCACATACTTCATTTTCATTCATACCACCACAAACATGTTGAGATTTACGTACTGACCTGCCCAGCTAAAAGATAATGTCTACTTTGCCTTTCCACTTCTGTGCGACTTTTTTGTTAGCATTTTGTTTGATTCCCTCAAACACAAAACTATGCTCATTTTCACCTCAAGAACCATAGTAAAAAAAAAAAAGTCTGGCTCTTACCGGAGCCTCACTACTTCCCCCTTTACGGGACGAATTAAGAGATGTATGTGTATTTTGGATTAGGTATCTGTTATCTTACCAAGACGTACACATTTCAAATGCAAAAAGCATAGCTTCTTCCTCCGACAACCAAACCTTGCAAGAACAACTTTCCGTGGCTTGTGCAAAAACTTTCCCTTTTCGTGAGGTGACAAGCAGTATAGCTGCTTAGTTGCACGCATAAGCCCCAGGCAGTGGGTTACTTTAGGTATGGAATCAAAGGTAGACTAAATAGTCTATTTCACTGAAAAAACACCAGAATAATCAGGAGCCCCCAAATTGATATTACATTCCAGATTCAAGCTTTATAATAAAGCAGCAATTCTTAATTCCAATAAAGACTGTCAATGATTATGAAGATTAATTACAATTCAAATATGTAGGTCTACATTACAAAAATCGCCATGTGAACGACATTATGCCTTCTCAAAAAGAATTATTCCCAAGCTTCTATCCATTGCTCCACCTAATTTAGTTTTAATTTACTCTATTGACTGTGCTATTGAGCAGATGGAACATTTATGAAGGTGATAACTAAACGAGAGAGTTGATATAAAAAATAAAACTAGAGAGCAATCCATATAAATGTTCTTGCAATATCCTTGTTAAACCCTAAAAAAAAAAGTTACATGGTCAGATTGTTACAGACTATCATAAATACTAGCCAAATTTTTATTCCAATTTTTTTTTTACTGCTATGCAGGGTAATTACATCAGCCCTCATGAACTTGCTTTCTTTTTCTCTATTAATATACCCGACGTCTTTGCACGCAACGTCCCACTCTGGAAAAGTACTTTTTTCTTAGTATGCAGGTGAGCAGTGGCAAAGCAGGATACACAAAATCGTGATGCCCGTTCCGCAGTTGTCACTTCCCTGCACTACACTGGTGCATGATGAGAAGTGCAGTCAACAAAGAAACCACGACAATGAGAAATATTGCAGAACTTCCGCTTATTGTCGGTGTTCAACAGAGAGATAAAATCGTAATGTATGTTACTCAAGGCAATAATCAAAATTTCTGAAAATTCGCAGAAGCATGACGTAACGATCCGGCCATGTAGCAGGGCCCAAATTATTATATTTTCAGTATTAATAAAGCAGTAGAAGCGAGATAAAGCCTTTTCTAGCATTTAGCCTTTTCTAACTGCCTCGGAAAGATGTCCCCGAGAATAGAAGTATTCCAATGAGTAAATGTGACTTATTAATATGACGTTACTAGTACTACATGTGTGTACAGGAGGGATACTTGAAGAGGCAAAAAAGATCCTAGTGGCCTCAAAGGGACAGCCGAACATTGGCAATCGCTCTAAGTCTCACATGAATGTCGTTCTAAAGTTATTCCCCAAGTTTCAACCACCTCTGTGTTTTCTTTAAAGGAACCATATAATGATTTTTATGCATTCACTAAATACTACTTAGAACCACTCTCTAACGTCAATAACTGAATAAACTTGCCTTAGCTCCTTTTTCTAGGCAATGGCAGTCGCCAAAGAAATTAGAGAAATATGAGCATTGTTTATCCCCCCAACTCGGAGCCAGAAGCGGCCACGTGGCCTGGGGCCCATCCTATGCTGCCAACGTTAATCATACTCCCCGTACTGGGGTTGGAAAGGAAGAAAACACGTGCTGGAGCTTCAGAAATTGTTCGGCTATTCTCATCACCGCAGTGGTTAGACACGGGACACTACCCAAGTGCCCACCGAGGCATTGATTGTTACGAGCCGATGTCCAGTGCTCACGTAGTTCTCGTGTCCAATCCATGAGTCGCGCTCGACTGTCGTCAGGCGGGTGGTTTTGATCCCACAATTACTTAAATCTCACGCCTCGATCGATCCGACTGTGATGACGCGTACGGAGGCCTGCTGTCTAAGTAGTGTTGGTCTGACTTGTAAACGAAGGGTCGTGGGTTTGAATTGCCTAAAATTTTTAATTTTTGTTTCTTTAAGGCAAAGTAATTACTTTATAAAGTGAAATCATTTGAGACATATGGCTACCTTTAATTCGCGTTACATGTCATGTTTTAATCACTTTCATTCCACGCGTGATGTCACGTTTCACGTGAGCATTATGGGTTGTTTGAAATTCCTGCGCGAGGGCATGTACCTGTGACGTCATGACCCTATCGACCAATCTGGGATTTTCAGTCACGCCACCAACATCGGCTTTTCTGCGACATGAGCTCCTTAACGCTATCGCGTTAAAATCATCAATTAGTAAGGGTGATGCTCATTTCCAAATTAAATTGACCGGCATCTTGTCAAGAACCAACGTCAACAGCCAGGCTATGCCAGCTCATCCTGAATAAGAAAATGTTGACTTGGGAAAGCGCTATTTTGGGCCAGATTCAATCAGAGAGTGAAGATGCATAAAGATTAGTGAACAATTTAGATTACTTCCTTCTGCATGATAAGTCGCATGCACCGCGGAGCTGATTGTAAACAATGTTTCGTTAGAAAAACAAGCATTGTGATTGCCACTCAGTGTTTCTATAAAAATAGACTGAAATGACTGTCCTAAAACTTTTCTGACATTTTGAAAAATTCATTTGTTTTTAGCTCAGTGGTGTCGTCCTTATGTATATATTGTGAAATGTATTTCATAAACCATATTTCATGATATATATGGCCACAAGGTGCCCATTTCACGATTTTTTGGCCTATAATAAATTCCTTGGTTTGATGACACAATCACGATTTAATGTTTAAAGGACACATGCAAAGGAAAAAAACATTTTTTTTAAACGGCTTAGATGGATAAAGGACGCCATAAAACGATTTTACAACGAAGAAAAAAAATTTTTAGAGCTATATTTACGGCGCAAAACGAATTTGTAGTTGGCGCCCGCGGGCACCGCGGAAAAGTGGTCTGTATTTATCACGTGACTGGTCTTTATTTATCACGTGGTGCTTGCGATCTTTCGGAAGCTTCCTATGGCCTCTAAAAGTAACTTATTCATCTTTGTTTGAAGTATAACAAAAAACCAAGACGAATAAGTAACTTTTAGAGCCCAAAGGAAACTCCTGAAAAAGCGCAAGCAGACGTGATAGACCTGTGCGCCGGTCAGACGACGGCGGCGGCGCCCCGAAGCAGACAAACTTGTGCGGCGGCGGCGACGGCGGCGTGGAGAAACGCGTTGAAGCGGCGTTCGCACAACGCTCAGCGTGCGGCGGCGACGCAGCGCGGCGGCGCGCGGGCCTACCACGTGACCAGCAGCGGCTCCCGCGAGCGCCAACTACAAATTCGTATAGCGCCGTAAATATAGCTCTAAAATTTTGTTTCTTCGTTGTAAAATTGTTTTATGACATCCTTTTTCCATCTAAGCTGTCTAAAAAAATTTTTTTTTTCCTTTGCATGTGTCCTTTAATACTAGGACACAAAGTTGTACCAAACACGGGTATTTTATGCAAACTACCACAGTTCGCGACAGTATTTTATACTGTGTAAATAGATCAGCTTGAACCTTAAAATTCTACTTAAACACGAAGAAAGAAAGGACAGTATAATTCTAAATTTCAAGCTGATCTATTTACAGGTACGTACCAACAAGCTCAACTCTTTACTGTTGTACTTAAACATTTTGATTCAGGTAAAATATATGTGACTGGTAAACAAAGGGGCATTGAGTCGTATGAACACGACGTTATGTACGTTAATGTAGATTTTCTTTTACTGTTGCGTCAAAATTAAATAACTGAATTTCATATTTTTGGTACCTGAAAAAAAAAAAGTGAATTGCACGGACGATAGAAGAAACTATATAGTTAATCGTTTAACGGCGTAATTAACGTCTCTTGCCAGAACAACGCAGAAAATATATTCTCAATTTAGCAGTTCGAACCATTATTTTTTGTTCCCCGGAACTGAACCGCAACCGAACCTGAAGCCTTGAACCCGAACCGGTAAAAATTTCGGTTCGACACTCTGCACAAAAATACTCTAATAAACTTAGCGATTAAAAAAATAAAACATTTCCGACTATTTTTGTTACATTTGCACTTGGGAGCAGGATGGCGCAGCGAAATCGGATTGGCGCACAATGGAGCAATTAGTGCAGCACTTCCACCCCTGACAAACTGGAATTAAGTTGTGCCACAATGTTGGCACAAATTCCTTGCACTTCGGCGAAATGCAGCAAGATGTAGCAGGGTAAGCACTTTGGTGCAGCAATCGCATCGCTGGTATACGCATGCCAGCGGCACCATTGCAGTGCCGTGAAGTTAGTGGGTTGAATTCGTGTATAGACAATGTGATGTTCTCACCTTTTGAGCTTTGCTGCTGGAAGGTTTCTTGTACGGGTTGACCACATGCGCCTCCTTGAAGAGCCGCTCCTGGTCACCATCGTAGTACCTGAGCGTGGAATACCAACCTCACATCTTGCACGACTCCCCTCCCAATCTAACTAAATGGAAGAGCTACGACAATGTGGAGAACACCTACCTCTCGTACAGCTTCTCCTTGTCCCATTTAAAGTGGTTCAACAGGATTCGCGTTGTGGTAGGCGGGATCTGCAAACCACACGAGTCGCAACAGAGGTACAGATGCAGTTATTGGGCTATTTGCTTAAACCTATACTCAAGATACTGCAACGGCAATATGCAATTGAGACTTATGACCGACCAGAGTTCCCAATACATGACTTCGGCACAGCTGTGCCGAAGAGAACAAATATGGTGGTGCAAGATATATGCTGCAGAAGGTACGTGCTCAACAGCAAGACCACCGCAAGGGCAGATAACGTGACGTCAACACAAGCTCCATGTACTCTACAGCATGAACTGTAACGCAGGCATACAGCAATCACTCATCCCTGACTGGTTGATTGTGGCCATTTTTCTGAAGCCAGCGCTTTGAATAAATTTGCGATTGAAAAAAGTCATGCGTTCTACAATTGCCTCCAGGATCTAAACATAATCGTTTCGATCCTGGATGCAATCGCGACTGGGAAGCGTATTACAGTGGAAAATAAGTTTGTTCATCGCGCCAGCTTTGCCAACTTTATTGAGGAAATACACCTGAACGTGCACGCAACGTTGTGTCAATCGAAAGAGAGGTGGAGAGGGAGGGGAGGGGGGGGATACTCTGCCTCACTTTGACAGGCGCTCAAAGTTGCGTCTATCGCGGCAGTCGACTGATTACAAGGCTCAGCACTTTCGCTACCCTGCCAACGAACACATGCAAGGTTATCGGAAGAATGACTTGCAAAACCTTTAGACTGAGCAGCTTAATCGAGTTTTGGTTGATAGTGCACGCTCGGTCGCGACGACAGCGTCTCGTCCTCAAAACCAACGGGTGTACAGAGGGTTTAGCTTACGCGCCATGGCAGCAAACGCAGGTAGATAAGGTCTGCTTCATGTAAAACAGCACCGACAGCGTCCCACGTAGCGCTGGCCAACGCTTCGAGGGCGGTCGGATATTGCGTCTTTAAAAGGGAGGGGGGGGGGACACACCTGTGCAACCGTACAGAGCTTTTGAGGACGCGTGGCGAGCGACGACAACTACGTGCGCGCCTCGGCCGACTGATCCGCGCTCCCAAATAACGCATTCGTAGCACCGTGGCATGCGACAACAAGCAATTTTCGCGCTGATTGCGAGCAAACGCAAAGTCAACGGTTAGGCTTAAAAGTTGGCCAGAGATCTCTCGTTGGCGCGGGTCGTGATGGCTTGACCGCCGAAGCACTCACCTCGACCACATTGTTAACGTCTCGGATAGAGTCTATCATGTGCTGCACAATGTCCTCGGTGGTTAAAACTTCGAAAGGAAAATCCTCGATGTCCATTTTCTCTTTGGCCGTGGTCGGTTCTGGTTCCAAACCAATGGACAGGCCGTCGTCTTCCTCGCCACTAGATTCGTTGCCAGAGTCCGTGTTGTAGATGTTGTCGTCTTCCGAATCCATTTTGGAGTGCTTGGGGGATGCGGTAGAAAAGAAAACAGTTTCCAAATATTACAAATTGAGAAAAACTACGGAACTGAGCGCTGCTGGGCCTAACACAGGCCTCCCTACTGCTCGCCGTTCCATACCGTGTTTATCCTGTGACGTCATTTCGCCACTTGCGCCCCCTGACGGCAAGGCGGGACGGGACGGTGTCCGCTGCCAGCGGGCGTTTCAAGGACCACCGAAAGCCTCGGGAAACACGCTCTGTCGTGACCGGACCGTGCAGCGTCCACAAAGGCCGATTTGCCGAAGGTCCAGGCCGACCGAGTTCGTGGCACTCGCTCCTGGCATGTGACGTTGCGCGGATCAGTGAGGCACTGCCGCCAGGACGCTCCCCGGGGCACTACTTCGGACGCTCTGCCAGGCTCTGCTTCGAACCTGCGGCCTAAGAATTTCTGTTTTCTCGTCCTCTGGCTTCCCAGCCGCGTGCTTTTGTAATCACGAACATGATGTACGCACAGCTCGCGTGAGTAGTGTGAGTGCCGTTTTCTAATAATTTTCGACTTTAAAGGGATACTTCAACGAAATTTGAAATATTCCCGTCGTGTTCAAAAATAGGTTGAATATGATCCACAATATCCGTAAATGACAATCGCACGTTTGTATTTTGAGCCTGGTGGCTGTATTTTTCGTTATAAACGGCCCACTCTGGCAAGCGCTCGGAGAAGGCCCAGCGGAGACCACGTGACATCCAACGCAATCGTGACGTAGTTCGTCTCAAGACGAGCAAAGCTGCGGCGAGGATGACGTCGAGAGGATGGCCTAGTCGTTCCAGCCACCGAAGCGGCTGCTTTTGTACAAATTTTGAGTGATGGCTAAAATATTGTAGGAGGACAATAGCGACTTCTGTGACACACAAAAGGCATTCTCGGGAAGAGGGGGGTTTCCTCCTGCCCCTCTTCTCTCGTCGTGGCCGGGGGGGAGACAACCTCCGTCACTAGCTGCTAAGGTTGCTAGATGGGCATTACACGCGAGGCGTTAGCGACATCCACCAGGTGCTCTTTGCTAATCGTTTAATTCGTTTTCAAATTCCTTTTCGTGACTTTTTGAACAAGATATTGGTATGTTCGATTTGATGGTGCTTTTTTGAACACATATAGACCAAAAAATGAGTGCCGAAATTTCGTTGTAGTATCCCTTTCATGCAAGTTGACAGCGGTTATTTCGGTTCCCAAAGTGGTTTTAATAAAGAAATCCGTCTTTTGAGTGTTAAATATAGATCAGTTTTGTCTTGGTATTATTTTATATAAATCCCTGACATTTCCGCGAATTACCACGTTACAGTGCTTATTTACAACTAAAAGAAGCGAAAGCATGTTGCAAGAGGCATCACTGATCGTGCGCTGGAAGTGAAACCGAAACTATGTTTGCGAATGCATAAATTATAGTAAAGCAGTGAGTGAGCTATTACCTCTCTATAGACGCCCTACAAGACGCTTGAACTGCTTTAAACGGGGCGATTTTTATTGCGTTTAAATTTAATTCGACGAAACCAAAACCAAAACATCTTGATTTCTCCGCATAATCAAAATGGCGCAAAAAAAGGTATAAAACAAGGTTGCCAACTTCAGATATAAAAGACGCATTAAAACTTGGGTTTGGGCTAGTTGGTCCATTACTGAATTCTACATAAAAAAGAAAGAAAACAATTGCGTCAGCGCTCCAGAGTGAGATGGTGTTTCTGGAAGGTTGGCTCTGATTGTCGCGATTGAATCCGATGTGGTTTGGGCAATGTGTATATATAGGTGACAATGGTATTAATTAAAAAACAGTTGAGAGTGAAGCGCCTGTCCTGTCGTCCGTGTTTCTTTATTGTCCTCGTTTGTTCGCGCTTTTTAACCTTTTATTCAATAAAAGAAGCCTTTGCCATGAAACAATTCTCTATGGAAACTAGACCAAAACTGGATGAAGGAATAAAGTTGAGCAGTTCCTACCGCTTCTTGGAGTTGTCCCTCTTGTAGTACTTTAATTAAAATATCTTACCTTGTTTTAAAAGTGCCAGAGAATGGTGAGGCGAGCTAATAGGCCAGTCTTGGATAAGAATTATGCTATAATCAAACTCCGGCAGCAATTTTCCCAGCATTCTTCGAGAGTTGTAAAGTGAAACAAGTCACAATGCAAATATTCTACTGTATGAACTGTAGCATGTCCGATTTCCGCTCCTATGATAGACACAAAGATTTAATTTAACTTCACTCATGAACTTTAAAAATCTATACATGTTTTGCCTAAAAAACGGAAAAACATGCAGTGCAGCAAGACGTGGACTATCAAAACTCAAAACACAGTCATATTAAAAATTGTACATCATGTATGAAGCTGATTAACTCTTTTTCGTAGAGCACGATCAACAGCTTTTGGCACCATTCTGTCATTAACGTAACACCTGTATAACTTCAAAAATCATGAAGACATCCACCACACCACACCACTCTTCGTGTTGTTTATTTTCATTCTCGTGGTGGGAAGAAAGAAGTCATCTCAGCACTGCTCCAAAACTATTCAGCACCGACCCCATCGATATAAAATGCTTGCAGCCATTGGCACCCATCACCACAAATTGCTGCCCCATGTAGGTCACGCTGTCATACACACAATGTTATTACACACACATTTAGGGAACTGCTCTGCAAGCAACTGAACTGACTGCAGACGCTTAGATGTCGTAACAGCATGGGTGCACTTTGAGGAACAACAAGTGTCCTGCAAATCTGAGGTTTCATCGCCCGATGAAACTTTTGATTTGTCTAAGGTTGCGTAGCCAAAAACTACTCGTGCTCCGCACCAACAGCAGTGGCATTGGCTCACCAACTAGAGTAACATTAATCTGCGAAAAAAAATATTTTCGAAATTATCCACAGAACAGCTTCTTTAAAGGTTCCCTAAAAGTGCCACTGCATCAGCACGTCTTAGAATTTTGCCGGAGCTGCTCGGGCTCAAGTTTTTCAGAAGACGTTGATCTCGTCAGCGACGATGTCGAAGAGGGAGGCCCAGGGCCCGTGCCTGGCAGCCAGGTCTTTAGGCGTGTCGCCGGCACGGCTCCTGGAACGCACATCCGCAAACGGGTTCCAGAGTAGAGTCTCGAGCAGCGTGCGGCTGGACGGCTGGCTGGCCGCCAGGTGCACGGGTGTCAGGCCTCCCTCGCTGGGGCTGTTGGGGTCGGCGTCGTGCTGCAGGAGCACCATGGCGCACTCGAGGGCGCCCCACTTACAGGCGCAGTGTAGCGGCTCCCAGCCGTCAACAGTGCGGGCCCGAACGCTCGCACCCGCTGCAAGCAGCGCCTGCGAAGAGTGAAATCACCGTTAACTCAAGAATCCAGAAATGCACCGGGAGAGTACGTGACCGAAAAAGTCTACTCTGAGCATGATGCCTGGAAACATGTCTCCGACAGAAGTGTTTACCGCGTCTTCAAAAGTGGTCCCTTGATTTCCGCCCAACAATGTAGTAGAAGCGTCACATTGTCGCCGGCTGCGGATGTGGCGGCATCGCAGCGGCGGTCGTGTCTGTAGCAGACGCCTGTGCTGCTGCAGGTTGCTGTCCAGCTTGACGCAGTCCACAAAAGCTTTGGCAACCAGGAGTCGGGACGACGGCGACACTTGCATTCTCTCATACGCTTTTTCCAGAATTGTTTGGGCCAACCGCCAGGATTGCGACATCTGACACAGTGACACTCCAGCTTTCGTGATGTCATTCGTTGCCACTTCGGGACCCCTTTTGATGCACAGTTGTAAGATACATTGCGGGCACCACACTCCAACTAAACAAAAGACTGGCGCCAACAAAACTAGAGACATCTACAGACACAATGCAAACATCTGTACTTTTGTTGGTGTTTGACTTCTGTAAAGCCGGAAAAGAAGCTTAGCTGAAACACTTCTTGGAAAAAACGAGTTAGAGGTGAATTCTGGCGTATTTTTATCCCGTGAATCTGAATATCACTTTTGTTTTCCCTGAAGATGCAACTAAAAGCGAGAAAAAGCGAAAAAACATTCGACCAGTCGTGACGTCATACTAGGATCTTCGGGCCGCCAAGCGCGTGTTGCTCGTGTGGGCAGCGCGTGCAACGGCAAGCTTGCCAGGTATATTTCCCGCACTGACACCAGTCGTGACGTCTCTTTCTGACCTTTCTGAAAATAGCAAGAGTGCGCGTGCATAGCTTTGATAGGCGCTGAAGATGCGCGAGAGCAGATTCCGAAAGCTCCTAGTGTGACGTCACGCCCCGGGAAGGAGGGGCTTCGGCGGTACTTTAAAAATTAATTTCTGAAGCCTCCGTGCACCAAATTGAAAAATAATCTTGATATTCCTGATCCTGGAGGTAGAATGAAGGCCATTGAAATGTTTTTTCTCAAATAGAGAACCGCTTCAGTTTCCCTTTAAATCGCCTTCAGGGACCATGCTTTGGCACCATCTGGAAACAACCTGCTAAGCTACCGTCTTGTCAGCATTCGAGGGCGCCTCTCACAATGAAACGCAACATACGGACAGGGCATGCGCGCCATGTGAGCATTCACGGGTTATCTACTGCTCAATCGGGGTAGAGGGGTGGAGTTGGGCGAGGAACATGTTTTTCCTGCTAAGGCGCACAACTACTCGATGTGACTAAGGTGGACAGTATGTGCCAACGTTCTATGGTGAAAGATGAAAATGCAGATGCACGGCGTAATGTGTTGTCTGGATCGTGCTGTCGTTTGCTACATCGCCCGTACTCGTGGGACGCTGGTGGTCGGAAAGAAGGACCTTTGGTCGGCCAGAACTTTATATGCTACGGAATACTGTCTGAGGTAATTTGGTGCTAGTATCTATTACTAGCAAATAAAAATTTAAAATATTCTACCGAAATATTTTTAGTGCAAACAATGCGTCATAGTAGGGACAACTTTTTCTGGCATTTCCGAAGAAGCAATAACTGTGCGAGCACAGCTGTGATCAGCACTCCATGCGCGCGAGCGCATGGGTGACCAAGGCCTTGGCTTCATTGCCAAAAAAATGTTATTCCCGAGTATAGACCTTTCCGATGCTTACAAAATCACAGTCCAGCATGCGATCTTCACAGCCCAGCACATGCGTGTTCATCGCTTCAAGAAATGAGGAAAACACGCGCCATATGCGCGAACATTCAAGATGGCACCGACCGCACACTCCTTTTTGGAAAGGTCTATAGTTCCACAAATAAATTGGACATAATTGCGGACTTCTCAGTTCAACCTGCCATGCAAGGCCACCATGCTTGATACCCTTTTTGATGTAACCAATAGGTGCCCCTGTTGCAATTTGGCACCTTTATTACAGTGGAGCTGTTAAGGGCTAGTTTCCCCAGGGTAGTGTCCGGTACCAAACAAATGTCAACACAACACTCTGGTTGCCACCATCTCTCATAGATGGCGGTAGCTGTCCAGAGTGTTGTGCTTGCCAATTGTCTGCTTGCCGCCGTTGCTCATATATCGCGGCAACCAGACAACTGGTCGCTACCGCTGCTCATAGATGGCGACAACATTTCTCCGGAAGAAGAAGAGTGGGAACGGAACGAGCGGCGATGTGCACAGCAGCGCGAATGGTTCCGCAACCAACGCGAGGCCGCTATCGCCTAAAGTTCAACTGCGTCGAGTGCTTCAGATTCCCTTGTGAAAGAAGAGCAGATCGCTACCCCGGAAAGCCACTGCCGAGAACAGAAGCTACAGCTCTGCTGCTCTTCCTTTTTCACCAGTGTGGAAAAGCTGAAAGTTTTGCGCTTTGGGGAAACCGGTGCAAGCAATCTTGGGAGATTTTAACTTTAATGCTTACAGGGACGTTGGAAGAGCCATGCTTTGGCACTGAAGAAAATAAAACTGCTCCTGGGGAACATTCCAGGTTACTAGCCTCCAAATGCCGATTTTTATATCTGTTTAGGGCATTCAAGTTACATGAAAACTCAAAGTAAAACAGAACCTCATGCTTCAAATTAATTCTATTACTAGATTTTCCGTGGGTGTCTCATAATTTGTCAACAGACCATATGCGATATTGTTTGAATGTCTGGCAACACTCTTTGCACTACCATCTTTGTTGCACTGAGATTCCTCTGCTGTTTCTCAATTTATAGTCGGTTACAAGTCAAGAAGGTAGGAGAAGCTCCTCCCACAAGTGTGATGCGCCCGTTTCAAATCTCTCCGCAGTCGAAAGAAGAGTTCACTGGAAACGCTCCTTGTTCCGCTTCAATGGATTCCCACTTGTCTCCGATCCCACTTTTGAAGAAAGCGACCTTTGTATTCATCGGAGAGGGAACCGAGCCCCTGAAAGCAGCCTTTGTATCCATCGGGGGGGAAGCTAATCCCCGAAAGTCGTATTTGTTTCCGTCGGTGGGCGAGAACTCTAATCTCCCTCTCGTGGCTTCCACAATGCTAAGTCAAAGTCGAAAGATAAAGCAAATATGTACAGAAAGGCAAGACCCTCCTCGCGCCTTGGCCACGACGTCACGGAAACGGTGGGACGGTATTGGATGCGGAGGTGGCGGAGGGATATATGATTCCCTTTGAGGGGCATTTGCCGCTACCTTCTTAACCTGTAACTGACTATAGTAGCGTTCTCGGTAACAATCGAGGCCTACTGCTCGCTGTCATCGATCCTCACCCAAACCTGCAAGCTAAGGGTTAGAACTGTTTTACACTCTTCTTGCATGTGTAAGTGCTCGTCGCCCTGCCGGTCGCTGGTTTCTCACTGCAAACAACATGGCAGACATACACTTCAGCTTGAAATTTGGCTTCGCACAGGCGTGGGTGCCTGGTTTTCGAAAGCGCTTTTTTTGCACGAGTACATGTGCAAGCAGAGGATTCTTCAGAGTTACGCTTTCACACCCCCCCTTTGCCAGCGCCAAAGCCAACTTGTGAGAAGCAGCAAGTTCCTCGGCACCCCACTAGATGGCGCTGTGCATTTCACATGTGGTCTATTGTTTGGAGGTAATTAAAACATTTTAAAAAGACAACAAATCGAATAAAGAGTAAGGAAACCTCCCAATAAATAAAACATATTTTCCTCCTTTGGTTTAAAAAAAAAGACCTTATTATAACAGAAATAATCTCCCTTATCTGGTGCACTCCATATTATCCTCGTGCCAAAGTCTAGTCTCATCCCATACTGGCCGCACCAATAATTATTCTGCTCTGAGTCAGATGACATGTGAAGGCTCAATCAAACACACTTGCGTTTGACTACGACCGACTGAGACAAGGCCGGCATTTAAGCCTCTTGTAACTGCTTGCGACTGGCTGCACAGCAATGCCGCCAGTCATAAGCCGCCACAAGAGGCTTAAAGACCAGTCTCGTCTCAGTCAGTCGTACTCAAACATGGGTGTGTGAAAGGGTCTTGAGGTCAACTTGACTATAGATCATTTCAATAATTGCCTTTTGAGCACTGCTGTCTTTATCTACCGGGCCGTGGAACAGATTCTGAGCATGCAGCAGTGGCGTACACAGACAGGGGCCAAAGGGGCCGCGCCCCCCCCCCCCCCCCCCCGAAATTTCCGAGGGGGGGGGGGGGGGTGGAGTCGGCAAGGTTACTAACTCTCGGGTTTATAAATATCAAACTTCATGAAGAAGTTGTAAAAGAAAAGGAAATAGAAAAGGAAGGGAATGCAATATGCCATTTATGACATAGTAAAAATAATAAAAAATGTGTAGTTTTAACGTCTTTTATCTAATATGACTGGAAAATAATCAGCTAACGAATATCTTTCTTTACTTCTACTTTTATTGTTTCACGAGTGCCCCATGTCCCTCTCGCGGAGCCGCCAGGGCTGGTTTGTCGCCACCACAGAGCGGCCCCCGTGTCCCCTGTCTTAATTGTTCCTCGAGGACCCCGCTCTAGGTACGTACCATGCGCTGTGCCTCGCTCCAGCACAGCGAGGCCCCTCGATGTTTTGTAGCCTTTTTTTTATTTTGAGAAGAAGCGTCGGTACTGCTCTTGCACCCTGACGAGGGGTTTTTCCTTGAAGCGGTGTCCGGCTGATGGTCGACAGTTAGGGCGAAGGTTTTTAGGAGTTTTCGGGGGTCTATGCACATGTTCTTTCTTAATTGGATTTTGTATTGTATTGTATGTGTTTGTTTTGTACAGCGTGGCTCCCATTGGTCTAAAAAGAGCGATATCTGATTGGCTCCTCGGATGGCGGGAAAAGTCTTAGAAAAGTGAATATACACCAACTCATGTTTACAAACAAACCGGAGCGCCCCTAGCGGACGCCACCGGCGCCGCGCATGCGCGAGGGGGGTGTGGGCAGGAAGCTCGCCGTCGCCCATAGACAAACCATTGAAATGCGATGTTATCGGCGTCGGTGTGAGTCCCCCTGCTCTTTTTCGCGTTCGAATTGTTGATTTTACGTCTTCCTGGCAATGTCTGACTACTTGAGCAGCGTCAGCGAAATTACCGAGGCTCGTTACACCGCGAAACTTCGCGCGAATAATGTGACATGTGGCGATTCATTTCGCGTGGACGCCGCAGTATGTGCGCTAAAACCTGATTCGCATGATGAGATTTTGCTCGCAATTTTCAGTCGCGACGCCGCTCGGGCTGCAAAAGCGTGAACCGTAGCTGAGGTGGTCGACGTCGATACTGAAAATCGCAAGCAGAATCGGACCAAGTCAATTAGGCGTAGATAGTCAGTGATAGTCACTGGTAACAATGATCAACATCTTGTATTTACTGTTTACATCGAGCCTGCTTACCAACCTTCAAACGCAAGTCTTTTGAGGCCTGCACTTACTTCTTATCGCAAGTACCGGGCCAACATATACGGGCCGGCGTAGTCTAAGAGAGCAGACGACAAGCAGAAACGTTTGAGAGAGCAGACGACAGCTCGAACGATCAGGCGGCCGTTTGAACTTGAAGACGCACTGAACGTAGTCTGCAGGTGGTCCGCACAACTTGATGGCTTTCTGGCTTTCTGGCGTTCATGTTGCAACAACACAAATAAATCTGATGACCACAAGTATCCGTGAATTCAACCCAAAGTGCTTCCCGCCCAAGCAATCGTTGTTTGAAGGCGTCTGCTTTTCCCTTTTTACGGCACATATCCTGATTCTCGGACGAACTGAGCACATAAAAACTGACCTTCAAACCTTTCTCGACACTTTTGGTACGGCCCCAGTCGCGGCGTTTTGACGAGAAGGCAGGTTTTTGTCTGGTTCCTTTCAAAACAACGCAGGAATACACGTCTGGCATGGGGACTTCTGCCCACAGCCTCAGACCGGAAGTGCGACCGACGCGCCACCACCGCGCCGTGACGTCACAGAGAGCGCAGGATTTGCGGTTCAAGGTTCGAGTACGGAAGTTGTCATCGGCAGTTTGTGAACCGCGCGAGATAGGGGCGCAAGTGTGCGACCTGCTGCCTCAGGACGAGAGCCAAGTGCAATATGCAAGTGTGTAAACCATTTTACATCGTCCCCTTGTTGCGTTGTGTGACTGCCTTGACTTTAATTTGTGAGCGGACTTCGGAAACCTTAGAAATCGACACCAACGAACAAATCACGTGATATTTTTGTTGGTTAGATCAGGTTAAGATAGGGAGTACTTTATGGTGGAGCAGCTTTCCAGTGCTTTTTGTCTATCCATCAAGATGTTCTGCATTCCTTCTTAAGCATCATTGTTTTATCAGCCCTGATGACTGGAGGCTTTGTGCATTGGAGCCGTGCTTCATAAACATTTGTTTTTATGATTCTTGATTTCTGCTTACTCTGGTGTCTTTTTTTGACGTGACTGGTAAATAAAAAAAGTAAATGCAAACGCCTTCCTGGTGGGGAATTTCTGGGGCATCATTTTTATGGATCATAATCATCCCAAAATCATTATGACAACTTTATTTTAATTACTTAATAGAAGAATGCATAGTTATTAGAAAAAAAAATGAACATGCTTTTATTTTCTCTTGAACTTTCTTTTCTTTTTATCTTGTCCCCCTTTACTCTCGTCGGTCCGGCCCCCCACAAATGAAATCCCTGCATACGCCACTGCTTTACTCAACAAAATATCAAATGCCACGCTTGCGTGTAGAGCCCAGTGCCTCAACATTTTTTGCCCGGGTGATGAACGCTGGAAAGGTGCATACCCGGGCAGCGTTCGGGTGGTTGGCGTAACAAGCCCTGTGGAGGGCCGTATAGCCATCGGAGTCGGCAGCGTGCACGAGCGATGGGTCTTCGGATAGCATTCGACTCAGTTCAGCCACGTCATTCTTCTCCGCAGCCTTCAGCAGCCGCTGTAGCGGGTTGTCGGCCCCTGCAAAACGACGCACCTTTCGTTTTAAGCTCAGAAGGATGTACAAACTGTTTTCAAGAAAAACAAGCCATGGTTTCAGTGCCACGTAACAAAGCTAAGCATCACAGACAAATCAAACCCTGCTCGAATGGAACACTATTGGCAAAGTGTGTGACCAAGGTTGGCTTTTCAACAGCGGCCAAATACTCACCCTAGCGTCTTGTATTTCTCGACAAGGGCAAGCAGGAATGACCGTTCGTATGATGCAATGATGTCATCAGCAAACCATGTCTATACTCCATGTCACTAGTTGTGTGCAGTGCAGGCAAAGGTAACACCAGATGCAGAGAGAAAGGGCGAGCACTAGGAAGATGGGACGAGAGAGGAGGGCAATGGAGGATGAGGGGACACAGGGAGAGTGCTAGGAACTTTAGAGAGGAGGTTTCTCTCCTCTCTAGTGGTTAGTATTGGTGTGTCATAACCTCGGGACATCATGCTATATTACTGAAAATTTAAGTCCTGGCCATGCTCTAAGATTCTCTTTTGGTGAGAGCACAGTGTTGAGCACTGCGACGCAATCGACCTGAAGAAGTCGTACTGGCGGGCCCGAGTAGACTTGATTAGCCTACGCCAACAGCGTCTCCGCTGGCCAAATGGCACAACGCAAATAATTTGGCCTATCTGCTATGACCTCGATGGATGCTGGTTTGAACACTGCACCAGAGAGCTCCGCTACTTCAACGTGTTCATAAAACTGCTCTTGCCACTGTTGAATCACATCAATGACAAAGCTAGATTAAAGGGCAACTCCGGCCAAAACTCAAAATGAAATAAATTACTGGTATCGCTGTACCGTAAAATTCCGAGAGACAGCCCACCTAACATCAAGAGCAAATCGGGTGAAAATATGGGGTGGGCTAACTTTCAATGTACAATCAAGAAAAGTTTAAAAAATTGCTATTTTAAGGTCGTGTCCCTTCCGGCAACGAAGCAAAGATATCTGTACTTCCCAGTCAGCAATGTTCTCGTATATCCTATCATAGCTAACTAGCCGCATTTACGCCGAGGCCATCACTGATCCCAGCACTACGATTAATAGAAATGGGCTATCTTTCGACGTTTAAAAAAATATAGCAAACCAAGCCAAAAATAGGGGTGGGCTCTCTTTCGGGGGTAGGGCATCTCTCAGGATTTTACGGTAGTGACAGAAAATGCGACCCCAGCCAAAATATTACGTCAGGGGGACGCCGCATTCTCAACTAATGCCGATAATAAAAATGCGACCCGCCGCGAGCCGCAGCTCCTTAGCAGGCGGCCAGCGGGTTGCCGGTCGCTAAAGCAACGTTGGGTTGTGACGTCAGGATCATTCTCTTTTTTTCCTCCGGTCCGGACATACGCACCTATTGCGTGGTCGAGCAGTGTGAAGTGCACTTCTTTGAGCCGCTACCACCAGTACTTCAGCTTGTGATTGGCGTGTTTAGCCGTTGCTTTTATCTGTAGCCCGTGTAGCTTCGGTATAGCCTTTTGTTTATTTGCTTGTGAGGACTCGAAGACTTGTTTTAGCGAGCAATTCGGTGCGCCCAAGACTGCCCAGCTGTTCCTCGAAAGATGCCAGGTACAACTTGCAGCGCTGTGGGCTGCTCAAACAACCCGCTGCACAACCCGGAGGTGCTTTTTCACAAGTCGGACCGGAAATTGGAGATTGTGTGGGTGAACGCTGTTCAACAAGCGGACTTTGGAAAGCCTTGGACGCCGAGTATGGCACCGAAAGAGTTCACTCGTTTTCCAATCGCTAGCTTTTGGGTATACAAGCGACAAGTACGGCAGACCACACGTACGGCGGCGGCCGCCAAGTACGGCACCGAATGAGTTCACGGGTTTTCCAGTCGCTAGCTTTTGGGTATACGCACTAACTCTTGCTACATATGCTGGATAACTACCATGTACTATCGGGAAAAAATGAAATGCGAACAGAGGAGCGTGTGGCTCGCGGTACAGGCGGCGCCACGTGGAAGTGAGCCTAGGGGTGAGGGTGCATGGCCTACTCCAATGTGTTCACGCCCCTCGCTCAGCGCTCCCCAAGCTTCGACAGCTCGCCTCTCAGTACGCTGCAAGCATCACCGCTATCTTTGCTGGCACAGCGCGTGCGGTGCGAAGAAGCTCGCCGCACACACCAAGCGAGCAAAGATAGCGGTGATAGCTTTCAGCGCACTGCCGAAGCTTGGGGAGCGCATAGCGAAGGGCGTGAACACACCGGAGTAGGCCACACACCCTTGCCCCTAGGCTCACTTCCAGGTGGCGCAGCCTGTACCGCGAGCCACGCGCTCCTCTGTTCGCATTTCATTTTTTCCCACTAGTACACAAAATTAAAACAAAATCAGCTTACCTTCTATCTTTAGACGGCTAGCGCAACAGAAGTAGGTGCCGCTTGGCTTGCGTACTCGTTGAACGAGAACGATCCTGATGTCACGTCCACATAGAGGCTGTTTTCCATTGTTGCCGGGGCCTCGAGCGGCTAGTTCCGGTTTTGTCGGCCGTGCCCCAAACAAAACTTTGAGGTGTCGATATCTTTAAAACTATGCACAATAACGAGAAAAAATTACACCTTGCAATTCAGGGACGCTGACTGCGCTAAAAACAATAATAATCCCAAAATCAAAAGTATGGATCTTAGCTGCCCTTTAATAGTCAGTGACAGGTTAAAAATTAAGTAAAGTTATACGCACTATGTGGTGCACCTCGACCGGACATGGCTATACGCACAACGCGAAGCTTGTATAAAACGAATGGTTAAAACAAGTTTCCCAAGTGGTGGCATAGCTTAGTGGTAAGGTGTCTGCTTTATACACAGCGGACCCCGGTTTGATCCCCAGTGTAGGCTTACTTTTTTTTTTCTTTTCTAGAACATTTTTTTTTATTGAGCATTTGGCAATATTTACATTTCTTTCTTACAATTAACACTAAAAAAGAAACAAAAAAAACATGAATATTGTTGACAAAATTTTACTGAACTAAATGGTATGGGACTCGCTTTCCAGAGGTGCAATCGGAGACAGCGGGGGTTGGGTTGCCGGATGGACGCCGCGAAGCGGGTTCGTGGGTTAAGTTTTGTGAGTTAAGTGGGTTAATAGTTTTGTAATTAGTAGCCTCACACTGTCGTCGCAACGTGGCATGAACGTACGCGGGGGACAGGCTTAACATGCACCCCAGTGATACAGGCGCCGTCCAAAAAGGGTGACCCAAATGGCGTCGCGATGCACTACGTCATGCATCTCAATGCCATTCGTTAAAAAAATAGCTTCAGTCTTAAAATTCAGGGGAGCTCCTCCCATCTCTTTCCCCTTCAGCAGAGCGAACGCTGGAGAGGAGGCAACTTCCTCTCCAACGTTTCCTCTGCTAGAGTGGTAAAAGGTGGAAGGAGCTTCACCTGAATTCTTAGCCTGTCGCCGTTAAAAGCCAACATCAAGGCTGTATAAACTTCCAAACCCAAAACTTTTTTTTTTTTTTTAATTTTTTCAAAAGTTATTAAAGGGGCCCTGCAAGGACTTTTTACTGGGCACCGAACCAGAGCGCATTGAACATAGTAACTTAATTAAACTTTCCTTTTCTCGAAATCCGCTTTAGTTTAAAAGTTGTAGGCAAATTAAAATTACAAAAACAAGCAAAAAATAACCTCCCTCATACGTCCTTGGTTGCTTGAGTGGCCGTGAACTAGAGGAGGGGTAGTGAGCTCAGCAAGCGCTCACGGCTGCCGCACTCCGTGTTGATGGCTTGAGAGGGCGCCATTAAAGCATGTTTTTGATAGGCTATGAAGTGGGCAGCCAGGGCAGCTCGCATTGTATTTGCTGAACGATTAAACACTAATTCAACATAACACTTCATTGGCCACAAACAACAGCAAACACGGGGTAAAGATCAGTTCATCTACGGGAGCCACTTCGTGCTGCCATGAAGCCAAAAAGCCAAACCGCAAGCCAAAGCTGCTCGCCGAAGGCCTTTGGAACTCTCGGAACCGGTCGGATCCTTGTCTGCAGCGCCGCCGCATACATCCGGGACCTTTCTACGCTCGCCGCTTGTCGGTGCCTGATCCCGCTACACCTTTCTAGTATGCGCCGCCTTTTCCACCGCCTGGTGGCGGGTATGTCGACAAGTCATTTCTTGTTTTCCTACTTTATAAACTGCATTTGTTTCTTTTCTGATCTAAAATACCTAACAAAAAAATACTTTTATAAATATTTGAAACGGCAAGCGCCACTTATATTTTGCATTTAGACTAAAAAGAAGCTTTTAGCTGCTCTGACCAGTAGTAAGCCCAGGACCACAAACGTCATATATCGTGCGCTTTCGGCAACGCGGGTCGCCCCCGTAGGTGGAGGAGGTTTCCGTGTCGTCCGGTTAAAATATGACGCACTGATATTTAATTACTCTCTCCGTGCCCGCTGGCTTGCTCGAACCCCAAGAGATGTGGAAACCGCAAAAAAGGTAGACACAATTAAATATGATTGCAAGGTCCCTTTTAAGTTCCGACTTCCGTGCTAAAACTTGTGCACGGCACGTGCGGGACTTCCAGAAAAAAATAAAAATATCCAGATTGGAAGGAAATTGAACTCCACCCACTTGAGGACTCAGCCTTCGGTTCCGGATTTTGCACTTCATTCTGTTCGGCGTTTTCCGATTCGGAGTGTGGCTCCAAACGCTTCGCTTGTGCACTGTCGGTGCCGTCGGTGCCCCGTGCCTCTTCTGACTTTTTACTGTCCCCCATCACGCTTCTGCAGAGGGGTGTTCATATAGGAAGTGTTTTCATGCTTTATCGAAGCTACAATTTACTGAGCGCTTTCTTTCGACTCACGTCCGCCTTGCCGGTCTTGCCAGTCCAATCTGGTTGACTTGGCTTGGATAGTGATGGCCAACTTGTTACGACTAAACGGCTAAATATGATATGAACCAGTTACGGAACTACCGACAACGGGCGAAAATGGGCACCATTTTCCCAATTAAACTTTCAGAAAATCAATTATAACTCTTGAATAAAATAACATTTGGTACTGAAACTTCGGCATCTTGTTCAAATTTCTGAGGCCATAGCGAACCGGCCGAGGTTCGAGTTCGACCAGGTTCGACTTTTTTGAACCTTTAGTGGAAAATTTGACGAACCTTGTATTGAGGTTCGACTCGTGTGCGCATGCGCGGCAGGCTGGCCAGTTGGCTTTGGATTGGATGGTGATGGCTAAGGGGAGAATTAAGGGCAGCGCTGATTGGTCATTTCAGTTAATGCAGTACAGAAAGGTTAAGTTATTAACTTCTTCAGTGATTAGAATTGGTTTCTTTTATTTTCAACTGTTCATAAAATAAAATAACCCTTTGCATAAAAAAAAAATTCTCCAAACCTAGACATGCTTGTATCAAGGTCTGGCCACAGTGTCCGCAATGTTATGGTGTAGTTAAAGTTAGAGCACTATATAGCTCCTACGGAGCAGAGTAGCGCAATCCTTTGAACCCCGTGTTTTGCCGACAACATGGCCGACAGAGCGGCTCGGCGCGAGTCACGTGGTACTCAGGGTTCCAGGAGGCGGCCCGCCCTATGGGAGAATACATGGAGATCGATACAACACGGCTGATTAAAAAACTAACGGCGAGTTCACATTTTTCAAAAGTAGCCTGTCGTGAAGTTAGTAAAGCGCTAAACACTTTATCAAAGTTTTAATAATATCGGATGCGTGTGCAAATTTTGAGAAGGCAATTTCCGAGGCAATGGCGTTTGAAGCAGACGATTTTTGCTCGCAGCGGAGATGGGCTTTTCGGGTTGGCCGGAGCGGGTCACGTGAATGGTGTGACGTCGCCGTGTCGTCTGCTGCATGATGCCGCTCAGGCAATTTTTTAAAAAAAGTTACGTCCTTGTATGGCACAAAACTTATCGCATATTATTCTAAAATGTTTCATTATTATGTCAAAAATGATTTCCATTCCGCACATCCCCACAAAACTGAAGAAACAACGATTTTCTCACGTTCCCCATGCATTTCTGACCGCAGTTGGAACCCCCGGGCGTTCGCCGCTAGTCGCCGAGAGACGGCGTTCTAGATTGCGCTACTCTGCTCCGAAGGAGCTATATAGTGCTCTAGTTAAAGTTCACTTTAGTGTAGTTATGGTGTACTAGAACTGGGCAGTGTGTCGTCCGCGCCGAGAAGCAACGGAGGGAGGAGGTCGGCGCAGCGATGACAGCGAGCAAGGACGCCAGGGGGCGCTGCGGGTAACAGGCGTGCTCCTCCCCGCTCGGATTGCCGTGTGGTCGTACTGCATGTGATCGCCTGGTTCGCGTCGTCGCCTTGTTTTGCTGCAGTTCCTTTTTTTTTTTTTTTTTTTTTTTATGGTTGAGTGAAATGGATTGTGATCGGTGCCGTTCAGTGGGATGTAGACAACGCGTACAATGACGGAAAAACGGCGGGACAAGAGAGACGGGCCGTGTTTTGTGTCGAGGCAGTGATTTCCCTACACCCCTCTACGGGGGTGCACTCCCCCCTTGTCTTTCGAAAAGCACCCGTATAATTCGCAACGACTCTTATATTCTCAATGCCCCCCGAAACCCCCCCTTTCTAACCTCAATTCCTGGGGCCCGTGCCGGGTTGCAACAGTGGCTACCGGTCCTCCAAAAAAGCCCGTTCCCTTTTTCGTGCCCCTCTCGAGTTCGAACGGCGTAAGTCGTGATCCCGCAACAATAAAAGGAGTGACAGGGAGACTCTGCTTCATGTGATGCACGCAGTCATGACAGTCTTCCTCTACATTTTTTTTTCGGACTTTTTGCACTTTAAAGTATCTGCTAAATCGGTCTAATAGACACTGGTTTCGACACACCGAAGGGTCCTGTGCACGCTGACTGCTTTAGAAAGGCTTGGAGAAGTGACTGTGAAAATGTGACGTTAACGGTTATGGCCTCACATGAGCAAATTATTATTATTTTTTTTTCTTAACGGCTTTAAAAAGATGAGGGTTGGCCCAGCACTCCGTCTCTTCAATGAAAAGGTGCTAAGAGGCCTCTTTTTACCGCAAGAAAATTGAAGGGTCTAATGGCCCAGCGGATGATACTGAGTCATTTATCCTGAAGATGTCGAAGCTCATCAAGATCATGACCTCACGTCGGAGAATGCAGAGGTACAAAACGCCATAGGCGCCGACTACGGGGGAGCTCGGGAGCCTCCCTCTCCCGAGCTCTTGGGAAAAGCAAGTACCATCGCCTCCGGAATCCTTGGGTGCACCTCATTAATCTCATCTGTGCGCTGGCGCCCAGTGTATCATTAAAAATTTATCTGTCTGCCCTGGTACCCACATATCAATATAGCTGGTGCTCAGTGGATAAATAAGAATTTATCTACTGTGGTTACTACCAGAGCTGGTGAGTGGATACATTTTTCTAACTATTCGCACAGTCCTGTTTGTTGAGCCTACGAAGTAACAGCAACTACGATAAAGGCTAGTGATGGAAATTCCTTCGAAAGCCCGTGGAAGTAATTGCGAGAGTCGACAGTGGCACCTCCATGCAGCCTACGGAAGTAGACGATATAATCCGTTTTGTAAGCCCCATTTTGTTTTCCCAAACATTGAAACAATTCATTAGGGTAGTGCGCTTCAACCACGGAATTCATTTATCACAACTACAGTGACAGCGAAATTATAGGGGAGGCACTCACTTGATCGAATGACGTTTTAGCGAACGCCCACGTTTCACCGAATGACACTTTAGCGAATAGTCGGACGCCGCGAAGCGGCGTTTTCGGGTGGGCCAAATGGGTTCACATTTTTGTAATGAGCCGCCGCAGACTGTCGCCGCGAAGCCGCGTAAAGCGCAGCGCGGCGGATGGGTTAACGCGCGCCCCCGTTATTCGCTAAAACGTCCATTCGCTCAAATGTCGCTGTTCGCTAAAATGTCATTCGCTCATGTGATATGGACCAAATTATAGAGTCACAATTAAAAGCAGACATTTGTTTAGGTATCATGCCATCAGCATGCTTATCCTACGTTATTCAGGGGATGACACACGTTTGCGACGTCTGTTTCAAGATACTTCCCGAACGTTTTTCTGGGGGATGGATTTCCCGCCTATTCAGAACGCAACATTGTTAGCGCGAAAGAGCGATCGCCGTTTTTTTTGTTGTTTTTTTTTTGTGAGAAACCAAAGAAACTCAGCAAAGTTCTACTTGCTGGGGAAAAAGCTCATTCGGGTCTATAACGCAGGTGATAAAAGTTCGCCCTCACTAATACTCTTTCGAAATAAATGCGAGAAAGCGCCAATGTCTTGTTCGCGCTAGCAGTGCCGCGATGTGTACTGTGGCGTCCTGTCCGAAGATGCACGTCTCGGGTAAAGCATTTGGCAACGAATTAGTGCGATAAATATTATGTGAAACAGCAGAAATAAAGAATACCGTAAAGAGTTAGCCAAACAATACGAAACAATCGAACCCGTGCGGAACGCCAAGCCAGCCAAGCGCTACCGCTGCCTGCGCTCCGCACTCCGGCAGCACGCCTACTACACGTTGCGCCCTCTCGCGGCCACCGATCCGGTCATCGCTGAAAGAGCCCCCCCTCCGCCGGCGCTCGCTACACTGCCCAGTCTTCTAGTACACCATAGCAATGTCGAACCGGTCGAATCTAGGGAAAAGTTCGAAGGTTCGTCGAACCGGTTCGACCCAGTCAAACCCCGAAAGTTCGACCTAAAAATCTGGTTCGACAAAAGTTCGCGTCACCCCTAATCATACATACTAACTTCTGAGGCTACATTCTGAGTCTTCTGACTAAGGGTGTCGGCCGAGGTTCGATATCGAACAGGTTCGACTTTTTTTACTTTTGAGTGGGATGTTCGACGAACCTTGTGCTGAGGTTCGACTCGTGTGCGCATGTGCGACAGGCTGGCCAGTTGGCTTCGGATCGGATGGTGATGGCTAAGGGATGAATTAAAGGCAGCGCTGATTGGTTATTTCAGTTAATACAGTACAAAAAAATTAAGTCATTAACTTCTATGGCGATTAGAATTGGTTCCTTCTAATTACAACTGTTCATAAAATAAAATAACCGTTTGCATAAAAAAAGAATTCTCCAAACCTATACTAAAATGCTTAGATCGGCCAGTTGGTTTTGGTACATCATGGGAAATAAGCCTGGGGGATGTAGCCCAGCAGGAGGCCGTCGTCGCTCATCAAGTAGGAGTCGAACTCGTCGTCAGTTGGGCGGTCGACTGGACCTCTTGCTGCCTGCCAAGCAGACACGCGTTGGCAGAGTCCATCATCCAGCTGCGCCTTGCGAAGCTCCTCGCGGCTCACTAATGTACCCCATCGTGAATCTGGAGATTCTTGTGTCGTGGCCGCAACGGTCACCAAGCCATGGGTATCCTGAGACTGTCCCTCGGGAAGTGGAGCACGAGAAAGCGCATCAGCAACTTTGTTAGTTGACCCCGGGCGGTACGCAATGGAGCAGTCGTACTGTTGTAGCGTAAGCGCCCAACGAGCAAGACGTCCAGCCGGATTCTTATGTCCCCTTAGCCATGATAGCGCTAAGTGATCAGATTGAATCTGGAACGTTGCGCCATCTATGTTACCAAGCCTAGACATGCCTGTATCAAGGTCTGGCCACACAGTCCACAAAGTTGAACCGGTCAAATCTGGTG